CCAGTCTCTTCCGGAAAACCTCCAGGGATGAAGCTCCCATAACGTCCGAAGGCAACTTCTGTTCCATTGAATATAGAACAACAGAATTGAAAGGGACCTTGGAGGTCATCTAGTCCAACCCCCCGCCCAAGCAGGAGACCCTACACCATTTCTGACAGATGGCAGTCCAGTCTCTTCTTCAAAGCCTCCAGTGATGAAGCTCCCACAACTTCCGAAGGCAACTTCTGTTCCATGGGTTGATTATTCCCATTGTCAGAAAATTTCTCCTTATTTCTAGGCTGAATCTCTCCTTGATCAGTTTCTACCCATTATTCCTTTTCTGGCCTTCAGGTGCCTTGGAAAATAGCTTGGCTCCCTCCTCTCTGTGGCAGCCCCTCAAATATTGGATCTCTGCTATCCTGTCTCCCCGGTCCTTCTCTTCATTAGACTAGCCATGCCCAGTTCCTGCAACCGTTTATCGTATGTTTTAGCCTCCAGTCCCCCATCATCCTGGTTGCTCTTCTCTGCACTCTTTCCAGAGTCTCCACATCTTTTTTATAGTGTGGTAACCAAAACTGGATGCAGCACTCTAGGTGTGGTCTTACTAAGGCTTTATAGATTGGTATTAGTACCTCATTTGATCTTGATTGTATCTCTCTGTTAATGCAGTTTAGGATTGCATTGGCTTTTTTGGCTGCTGCCACACACTGCTGGCTCACATTTAATCAGCTGTCCACTAAGACTCCAAGAAAGATGCCCTGAGATTTTTTTAAGGACGCCAGATTACTTCCACATCACTACCATTCACTAATATACAGCTGCCCATCTACCACAGTTTGTCAACCTCCACAACTTTAAGACATGTGGACTTCAATATCCCAGAATTCCCCAGCCAGCAAGGCCTGAAGTCCACACATCTTCAAGATGCCCTGGTTGAGAAACGGTGCCTTAAGCTACCCTGTGGAATTGGGACTCCAGCTGAATTAATGCATGGGTCTCGGGTGAAATCCAGCAGGTTCTGGAGAACCGGTAGTGGAAATTTTGAGCAGTTTGGAGAACTGGCAAATGCCACCTCTGGCTGGCCCCAGAGTCGGATGGGAATGGAGATTTTGCAATATCCTTCCTCCAGGAGTGGGGAGGGAATGGGGATTTTGCAGTATCCTTCCCTGCCACACCCACAAGCCATGCCCACCAAGCCACGCCCACAGAACCGGTAGTAAGAAAATTTGGATTTCACCACTGATGGGTCTGTGCAGGTTTCTTGCAGCAAAAAAATCAAGAATATTGTAGCACTTTCTCCAGCTAACAAATACTACAAGTAGAGCTCAAGTTACCACCATTTGTTAAGCGGCCATTTGAAATTACAACAACACTGAACAATGTGACTTATGACTGTTTCTCACCCTTATGACCAGGGGTGAAATCCAGCAGGTTCTGACAGGTTCTGGAGAACCGGTAGCGGAAATTTTGAGCAGTTCGGAGAACCAGCAAATGCCACCTCTGGCTGGCCCCAGAGTGGGGAGGGAATGGAGATTTTGCAGTATCCTTCCCTTGCCACGCCCACCAAGCCACGCCCACGGAACCAGTAGTAAAAAAAATTGGATTTCACCACTGTTTATGACCGTTGCAGCATCCCCATGGTCACGTGATTAAAATTTCATAAAATGGGGCAAAACTCACTTAAATGTCTTGCTCAGCAACAGAAATTTTGGGCTCAATTGTGGTCATAAGTCAAGAACTACCTGTATTAAAAGGCAGGGCCTTTCTGCTGGATTAAACCAGATAGTAGATCTATACAGTATATAAAAATGGCTGTGTGTGTGTCTGTTCCAGCATAACTCTGGAACGCTTCAAACAATTTCAACCAAACTTGATACATAGATGACTTACTCTCTGGAAAGAAATACTCTGGGGGTAAGACATCCCTAAGACACCTCGAGGTATGTGTTCTGTTTAGATACAGCCTGTTGTGCCTTAAAATGGCTTCTACTGTACCGCCTTAAAACGGCTTCTACTGTGCAGCAAAGTGGAGTTCCCATGGTAACGGCTTCACAGTACTCCACAAGGGGGCTCCCTCTGGTAAGGGGGAACATTAGAAATTACATTTGGTCTGGACATTTTCAACAAGGCTTGGATTATTCTTGAGGACAAATGTATGGCCATGATCAATAAAACATTACTGCAACTCGGCCTGCCTGCACCACTAGGAGACCGACAGGACGTACTTCACGCAGATTATATGCGAGAAAAGAACTACAATGTCAAACTAGTTAGTGCATATATCGCGGACAAGAAGCCACTTCTAAATCAAGATCAGAAAAAAAGTATACCAAATGATCATGGATCAGCTGGCAAAACAACGAGGTGGTATCATTTTATCTGACGCTTCTGGGGGCAACGCTGGATTATCAGCTAGTAGTAAATAAAAACAAGGGGTTACTAAAAAAAAAAAAAAGGAATGGCAAACACCAGTCAGTTCTTCAACCAACCAAGAAAACAACAAAATAAAAATAAACTTTTCTTTCATTTTACTCATGTAAAAAAGGGGCGGGAAAGCGAGCAAACCACTCAGACTGCGTTCTCTCCCTCCAACCTCTCCGCTAAAGGAAGAGGCGGAACGGTCATCAATAACAGGCGGCGGCTACACGAAGTAGCACCGCCTGCTGGCTTCGCGCTCAGGAGAGAACACTACGCCTCCTCCTCGTGGCTTGCTCGGCTGATCACTTTCGAGTGCATTTCTCTAGTTGGATACTATAGAAATGATCCCTGAAAGTATAGTCTTAAAGGATCGTTCCGCGATTCTACGGCCTCACCTGCCGCCGCCGCTCTTCAAGTCACAGCGACCGCCTCCCTAACCACAAATTCTGCTTCGCAGGCTTCTTTTCCTCCACAGCCAGTAATAAATTTTGGGAATTCCAGAGAATTTATGTAGAAAAAGACTGTTCCACAGCGTATATAGTTAGCAATCCACGCAATACCCATAATCCCCCTGGTTTTCAATTTGCATAGGGAACAGGGCAGCTGCTTGCAAATATGAGGTGTACCTTAATGCAACAAGTGGATCTGGTTAATAGTGATTAGTTAGAATGTAATTAATGATGACTTCGCCAAACAGAAATACAGACAGCCCTTGACTTAACAACAGTTCATTTAGTGACCGTTCAAATTTACAACGGCACTGAAAAAAGTGACTTACGACCATCTTTCAAACTTACAATCGTTGCAGCGTCCGTTCCCCCCAGGTCACGCGATCAAAATTCAGATGCTTGGCAACCGGCTCATATTTATGACGGTCACAGTGTCCCGGGGTCCTGTAATCCCCTTTTTTAGACCTCCTGACGAGCAAAGTCAATGGGGACGCCAGATTCACTTAACGACACTGTTCCTGACTTAACAAATGCAATGATGCACTTAACAACTGTGTCAAGGAAAGCCGTAAAACAGGGCGAGCTCGCTTAACAAATGTTTCCCACTCACTTAGCAACATACATTTTGGGCTCAATTGCGGTCGTTAACTGCGGGACTACCTACCTGTATGACCCTGGGAAACTGCAACCGTCGTAAATATGAGTCACTGGCCAAGCATCTGAATTCTGATCATGTGACCATAGGGTGCTGGGATGGTTCTAAGTACGAAACATGGCTGTAAGTCACTTTTTTCAGTGCCGTTCTAACTTTGGTCACAAAATGAACTGTTATAAGTCGAGGACTACCTGTATTCCAAAGAATTGGCTGCGCCTAGAACAGTGTTTCTCAACCTTGGCCGCTGGACGATGTGTGGACTTTAACTCCCAGAATTCCCCAGCCAGCAGAGCAGAGCCAGCAGAGAAGAGCAGAGCAGGCTGGGGAATTCTGGGAGTTGAAGTCCACACATCGTCCAGCGGCCAAGGTTGAGAAACACTAGCCTAGGTGATTTTGAGTCTCTCTGCTGACCTGGACTGCAGATGTGTGAATGAGGGACCCATCAGCCGAGCCTGGGAGCACATGTAACAATTTCTCAACCTCAGCAACATATGTGTGGACTTCAGCTCCCAGAATCCCCTATCCAGCATCCTGAATCCTGGGAATGGAAGTCCCAACATCTTAAAAGTTGCTGAGGTTAAAAATACCCCTGCCCTTAAAATATTTTGCAAAACTTCCGCTTCCACTGAATTAATTCATGCACTGGGTCCGTGGGAATTTACACAATAAAGGAATTGCTAAAAGAGAAGAGGAATGATCATCCTCACAGAAAATTGTGTAGAAATTTAAATTCTTCAATTCTTTCGTAAGAATTCTTAAAATTCTTATGACCTGGACTGCGTGAATATGTGAATGAGGGACCCATTAGCAGAACCTGGAAGCGCATGTTGTGAATAGTTTGTGGAATTTTTTAACACGTGTGGACTTCAACTCCCAGAATCCTGTAAATCAGCATACCGGAAGTCCCAGCGTTTAAAAAATTGCAAAGGTTAAAAATACCCTACGATTGCACAGGTCCGTGCGGGCTGAATACAATAAAAAGTGGAATTACTTAAAAGAAATAGCAAATCAGCACAGAAAATGTTAAGGAACACTGCTAGCTTTCATTCAGAATAAGGAAATTGCCGGGTAAACCCAACGGCGGAAAGAACCATGTGTGAGAATTTATTGGCTTGATTTCCATTTATTGGTTCGATTTATATGCCGCCCTTCTCCGGAGACTCAGGGCGGCTTACAATGCGTTAAGCAATAGCCTTCATACTTTTGTATATACCTGCTTAGTAGGGGTTTCGGCCCCCCCAAGCGGTGTTCTTTTTTATACAAAGTCAGTTTATTGCCCCCACAATCCGGGTCCTCATTTTACCTACCTTGAAAGGATGGAAGGCTGAGTCAACCTTGAGCCTGGTGCGATCTGAACTTGCAGTAATTGCAGGCAGCTGGTGTTATCTTAACAGTGATTTAAGTCTGCTGCACCACCAAGGCTCTTGAGAATATACTGCAGAACAACATTTTTTCTTTCATTTCACTCGTGTAAAAAAAAGGGGTGGGGAAGCGAGCAAACCACTCAGACTGCGTTCTCTCCCTCCAACCTCTCCGCGAATGGAAGAGGCGGAACGGTCATCAAGAGCAGGCGGCGGCTACACGAAGTAGCACCGCCTGCCGGCTTCGCGCTCAGGAGAGAACACTACGCCTCCTCCTCGTGGCTTGCTCAGCTGATCACTTTCGAGTGCATTTCTCTAGTTAGATACTATAGAAATGATCCCTGAAAGTATAGTCTTAACGGATCGTTCCGCGATTCTACGGCCTCACCCGCCGCCACCGCTTTTCAAGTCACAGCGACCGCCTCCCTAACCACAAATTCTGCTTCCGTTCCCTCCGCTGTAATAAAATTTCTAACAACCCCGCGGGATTTATTCAGAAAAAAAATATTCCAGGTCTTACGTTCTTCGCCAAAAACGATCGAGACCATAAGCCACCTGGTTTTTTCATTTGCATCGGGGAACCGGACAACCAATCAGGTTTGACCGAGAGGTGGAGCTTCATTAAGTCGTTTCAGTTCCGCCCATGCGCACGTCGATTGCAATAAACGGCTTGAATTTTTTTGCAGTTTTGCAAGACAAGAGAGAGAATTTGGTGCCATTCGGATTTGATTTGGGGGAATCATGGAAAGCCAACCCTTCTTAACACCTTTTACTGGCACCTGGATTCATACAAAAGTCATACTTCTGATCTCAGCTGGGTTAACTATCCCCCAAAGCAGGGGTCTCCAATCTTGGCAAGTTTAAGACTTGTGGACTTCGACTCCCAGAATTCTCAGGCTGAGAATTCTGGAGTCGAAGTCCACAAGTCTTAAACTTGCCAAGATTGGAGATCCCTGCCCCAAAGTAAGACATATGAAAAAGGAGGGGGGGAAATCAAGTTATACTTGGACATTGTCAACCTATGTGGCAACCCTCCGTTCACACGACGTTTGATCGCCCATATATTGTTGCATGCATCCTATATGAACGGATGACGCATATAAAATCTCGGCCCAGGACGGTGCCCAGGTTTTCCAGCCTGCGATTCCACATCCTTAACAATCCTTCCCAACCCTTTTTCCTCCATAGCCTTCGCCGTAACTCGGGATCAACGCGTACAAAATGTATATATATATATATATATATATAATATATATATATAAATATATATATAATAAAAGAACAATATATATATATATAATATATATGCAAAAAATTAAAATCTTGGGTGTTTTCCCGCGTCATTGTAAATAAGTTGGTTAAAATAGTTAAAATTCTGGTTAAAATCCCATTTAAAATCTCTAAAAATCCTTACAGAGCACTCTGCAAGGTCCTTTAAAACCTCAGCTAAAATCCTACAAGTGACTTTAAAAGTTGTTTTTTAAAAAAAAAAAACTTTTAAACTTTTTTTAAAAAACTTTTAAAGTCACTGGTAGGATTTTAGCTGAGGTTTTAAAGACCTTGCAGAGTGCTCTGTAAGGATTTTTAGAAGATTTTAAGCTGGGATTTTAACCAGAATTTTAAATATTTTAACCAACTTATTTACAATGACACGGGAAAACACCCGAGATTTTAATTTTTTGCATATGCGCACCCGCGAAAACTTAAGAAGACATGTGTGTGTGTGTGTGTGTGTGTGTTCTTAAGTTTTCACGGGTGCGTATATGCAAAATATTAAAATCTCGGGTGTTTTCCCGCGTCATGTTCAATAAGTTAGTTATTTAACTAACTAGTAGTTAGTTAAATAGTTAATTTAACTATTTAGTAGTTAGTTTAAATAGTTAGTATTTTAAACATTTTAACTAACTTATTGAACACGACGCGGGAAAACACCCGAGATTTTAAATTTTTTGCATATATATATATATAATATATATATATATATATTCTTTTTTCTTTTTTCATAGGCTTTTATGTGCATATTCTCTCTAGCCAGGTTTTACCTATGTAAACTTAGTTGTTCTAGGGGAAGAACAACTAAGTTTACATAGGTAAAACCTGGCTAGAGAGAATATGCATATATATATATATATATATATATATATATATATACATATATATATATAAATATAAAAGCCCGCCACAGATTCTTATTTGGGGCCGGGGCAAAGGTGTGGATGTATAGGGCAGGAGAGTGCATGCAAGCACCGGTTTTTTGGGATGGTTGGAAAGGGAAAGCGATTGCACCGTGCAAAAGTTTTGCACCGGTCCCGAATCAAGCCCCGCCAAAATCCACCTTGCAATTCTGGAGCACCGGTTGTCTGAAGTGCCTTTCACGCATCTTGGCTAGACAAAAAACACCTTTGGAAGAAAACCAGACCTGTTCAAATTTGCAAAGCGACAGCAAAGGAACGGCGCAAAAAGCCCGCCCGCCCTCTTTCCCTTTGCGCGCCCCTCTTGCTCGCAGTAATAAGAGCGGTGGAAGGGACCCTGGAGGTCATCTAGTCCAACCCCCCCTGCTCACGCAGGAGACCTGTACTAGGGATTCGAAACAGCCGAACTGCCGACCTTCCTGATCGCTTTCTGATCACCTTTAATCACAGCCACCCTCACGCGTTACCTTTCTTCAACAGCTTCTTCACTTTGACGTAGTTGCCTTGCTTGACGTAGTCGTGCAGACGAGCTTCGGGGCTCTCGAGTTTCACCGTCCCGAGTTTGACCGGGCAGGGAACGGGAAGGGTATGGGCCATGCTCCCTGGGGGGGAAAAAGAGACGTTAAGAAGGGGGTTTCCCTCTCTCCACAAGTGAGACCATCCCCGTTGCGAGCTTCCACTGTGCTACAGACTTCTAAGTCGTGTGAACCCATGATCAAACACGTGTTTGCGCGCGCAACCCCCTCTCCCCCCCCAAAAAATCAGACCCTTGAGAGCGGGGAAGCTTCCAGCATCGGGGTCTCTCGTGTCATTTGGATGCACCCGGTTTTCCTTGCGAGGGGTTTTTAGAATACACGTGTAGACATGGAAAGGGGCTGGGGGGGATTCAAACTATCCTTCTGAAAGACCTAGAAAATACCTGAGCAGAAATCATTAAAAAAAAAAAAGAATTGCTGGCTAGAATGAGGGTTTTGATGCAGTCGCTGGATTAGGAACGAGATTATATCCCAGATATTATAAAATATCCAGAGTGTGATAGCCGATTTATCGATTTGATTAAAAGATTGGAGCTTTCCTTATCTTATGCCCTTTTATAACACCATGAAATTTAATTTAATAAATTAGTAAAGTTTTACTAAAAGGGATTGGTAATATATTTATATCTATCCCCATTCATACATCTATTGCATCTCTATTCATCCATCCATCCACTTCTCTCTACAAATCTCTCTCTCTCTCTCTCTCTCTCTCTCTCTCTCGGTATATCTATATCTAATGGTATATCTAACTATCTTCTATCTATCTATCTATCAGTATATCTAACTATCTTCTATCTATCTATCAGTATATCTATCTTCTATCTATCTATCTATCTATCTATCAATCAGTATATCTATCTTCTATCTATCTATATCTATCAGTATATCTAACTATCTTCTATATCTAACTATCTTCTATCTATCAGTATATCTATCTATCTATCACTATATCTATCTTCTATCTATCTAACTATCAGTATATCTATCTATCAGTATATCTATCTTCTATCTCTATCTATCAGTATATCTATCTTCTATCTATCTATCTATCACTATATCTATCTTCTATCTATCTATCAGTATATCTATCTATCAGTATATCTATCTTCTATCTATCTATCACTATATCTATCTTCTATCTATCTATCTATCAGTATATCTATCAATCTATCTATCACTATATCTATCTTCTATCTATCAGTATATCTATCTTCTATCTATCTATCAGTATATCTATCTTCTATCTATCTATCAGTATATCCATCATCTATCTATCTATCTATCTATCTATCTATCTATCTATCTATCTATCTATCCATATCTAATCTATCTTCTATCCATATCTATCTATTCATCCATATCTATCTATCTACCCTCTTCTATCCATAGCTATCTATCTATCTATCTATCTATCTATCTATCTATCTATCTATCTATCTATCTAATCTATCTTCTATCCATAGCTATCTATCTATATCATCTATCTATCGTCTATCCATATCTAATCTATCTTCTATCCATATATATCTATTCATCCATATCTATCTATCTATCTATCTATCTATCTATCTATCTATCTATCTATCTATCTTCTATCCATATCTATCATAAATCTATCTATCTATCTATCTATCTATCTATCTATCTATCTATCTATCTCTCTATCTTCTATCCGTATCTATCTATCTAATCTATCTTCTATCCATATCTATCTATCTACCTATCTATCTCTATCTATTCATCCATATCTATCTGTCTGTCTATCTATCTATCTACTATTCCCCCACTCAATCAATCACATTTACCTCACTATCCAAGGCTCAGTTATCGCGCCTATAAGGAGAAAGGTTCAAAAAAAAAATTTTCAATTTAGTTCCTAAATCCTAGGAAGCTTATTACGGATTTGTGCCCCCCCCCCTCCCCACCTTCCTCCTTTCGGATTTCTCTTCTCTAGGGCTGTTCCCTTCTCTGGCTTTGGGGGTACCGCGTGGGCTGAAAGTCCTCCCCCCCCCCCCAGCAGACCTCCTTAGTTCTCAGATCTCTCCCCGCGGCCCCCTCCCCTCCCCTCCCCGCAAAAGGAAACCTCCCTTCGCCCCGCTCCTCCCTTCTCCAGGTCGCCCGACGCACCTCGGCGGCTGACTTTTCCTTTTTCAACTGCCGAGGAATTCAGTTGAGGCCGGCGGACGGCGTCACCGCGTTCTCTCGTCACCTTGCAGCGGGGCGGGAGGCGGGAAGGAGCAGTGCAAAAACCGGGGCGTGTGTGTGCAAAGATTTTGCACCCCTGGGAGACGCCCGGGTGGTGTTTGCACGGGAAAGGCGTTCGGAAAATGGGGTTGTTGCACGCAAAATGTGCGGGGCGTTTTTTGCAAACCGTCTCTGCGATTTTTTTATTTTTTTATTTTTTTGCAACTGGCCCCGTTGCAGAGAAGAAGTCGGTTGCATTAGAAAGCTGTACCTGTTTCCACGATTTGGGGGATTTATTTTAAAATTATTTTATTCATTCATTCATGGTTAAATGTATTTGCTGCCTGCCTTAACTCTAGGCCAGGGGTCTCCAACCTTGGCAACTTTAAACCTGGTGGACTTCAACTCCCAGAATTACCCAGCGAGCAAAGATAGATAGATAGATAGATAGATAGATAGATAGATAGATAGATAGATAGATAGATAGATAGATATGGATGAATAAATAGAGATGTGGATGAATAGATAGATAGGAATGGAAGATAGATTAGATACGGATAGATAGATAGATAAATAGATAGATAGATAGATAGATAGATAGATAGATAGATAGATATGGATGAATAGATAGAGATGTGGATGAATAGATAGATAGGAATGGAAGATAGATTAGATACGGATAGATAGATAGATAGATAGATAGATAGATAGATAGATAGATATGGATGAATAGATAGAGATGTGGATGAATAGATAGATAGGAATGGAAGATAGATTAGATACGGATAGATGGATAGATAGATAGATAGATAGATAGATAGATAGATATGGATGAATAGATAGATGACATGGATGAATAGATAGATGACATGGATGGAAGATAGATAGATAGATAGATAGATAGATAGATAGATAGATAGATATGGATGAATAGATAGAGATGTGGATGAATAGATAGATAGGAATGGAAGATAGATTAGATACGGATAGATAGATAGATAGATAGATAGATAGATAGATAGATAGATATGGATGAATAGATAGATATGGATGAATAGATAGATAGGAATGGAAGATAGATTAGATACGGATAGATAGATAGATAGATAGATAGATAGATAGATAGATAGATATGGATGAATAGATAGATGACATGGATGGAAGATCGATAGACAGATAGATAGATAGATAGATAGATAGATAGATAGATAGATAGATATGGATGAATAGATAGAGATGTGGATGAATAGATAGATAGGAATGGAAGATAGATTAGATACGGATAGATAGATAGATAGATAGATAGATAGATAGATAGATAGATATGGATGAATAGATAGAGATGTGGATGAATAGATAGATAGGAATGGAAGATAGATTAGATACGGATAGATAGATAGATAGATAGATAGATAGATAGATAGATAGATAGATGATAGATATGGATAGAAGATAGATAGATAGATAGATAGATAGATAGATAGATAGATAGATAGATAGATAGATATGGATGAATAGATAGATGACATGGATGGAAGATAGATAGACAGATAGATAGATAGATAGATAGATAGATAGATAGATAGATAGATATGGATGAATAGATAGAGATGTGGATGAATAGATAGATAGGAATGGAAGATAGATTAGATACGGATAGATAGATAGATAGATAGATAGATAGATAGATAGATAGATAGATATGGATGAATAGATAGAGATGTGGATGAATAGATAGATAGGAATGGAAGATAGATTAGATACGGATAGATAGATAGATAGATAGATAGATAGATAGATAGATAGATAGATATGGATGAATAGATAGATGACATGGATGGAAGATAGATAGACAGATAGATAGATAGATAGATAGATAGATAGATAGATAGATAGATATGGATGAATAGATAGAGATGTGGATGAATAGATAGATAGGAATGGAAGATAGATTAGATACGGATAGATAGATAGATAGATAGATAGATAGATAGATAGATAGATAGAATTCTGGGAGTTGAAGTCCACCAGGTTTAAAGTTGCCAAGGTTGGAGACCCCTGCTCTAGGCTGCTGACAAATCATTTAAAAAGAAGAAAAATGAGAGTAGTAAACAGAACTGAAGTCCCAAATGTGCTTTTTTTTCAATAGGAAACTGGACTTCCTTGGTTTTTCTTTGAAGGTATTTTCGCTTCTCATCCGAGAGGCTTCTTACGTTCTAGTTGGATGGGGTGGGGAATCCAGTCAGAGCTGAAGAAGCTTCTGGGATGAGAAGTGAAACATCTTCAAAGAAAAAAATAAAGAAAGTCCAGGTTTTTTGTTTTTTTTTAATTTGATTTATATGCCGCCCTTCTCCGGGGACTCAGGGCGGCTTACAATGCGTTAAGCAATAGCCTTCATCCTTTTGTATATTTATACAAAGTCAGCTTATTGCCCCCACAAACTGGGTCCTCAATTTACCTACCTTAGAAAGGATGGAAGGCTGAGTCAACCTTGAGCCTGGTGAGATTTGAACTTACAGTAATTGCAGGCAGCTGATGTTAATAACAGTGCTTTAGTCTGCTGTGCTACCAGAGTTGTGGAAAAAAAGCATTTTGGGGACAACTGTGACCTGGATGACGGAGAAGCTCTCCGTAGACAAACAAGAACGGAAGTAAAAATAATAGAAACGACACTAGACCAGAACATGAAAAAGAAAAAAAAATGTGATTTTTTTTCCCCCACCCCACTTTGGATTTTGTGTTTTCATTTTTTTGAACAGAAAAAAGGTGAAATCACGGAACAATAAAATAATGAAAAAAGAACACGAGAATATGTCGAGAATCAAGAATACATCGATTATGACATTTTTATTTATTAATAAATTTGTACCCTAACTTTGCTAGCCAACATCTGGGGCGGCGGAGGCTCAGAACTGGAGAAAGCGTTGAATTATGTTGACAGGGATAGCAAGGCGGGTTGGTGTTTAAATTTAGTGAGCCTCAAGGGTCAGGAGCAGTATATCCCCTGAGATAGACAGTTCCCTAAGGAAGCAACTGGTAGGGGATTACACCCGTGTTTGTGTGTGTGTGTGTGTGTTTGTGTGTGTGAGAGAGAGAGGGGAGGGAGGGAGGGAGAGAGAGAAGAGGGGGAGGGAGAAATGGAGAGAGGAGGTAGGGAGGGGAGAGAGAAAGAGGGAGAGGGAGGGAGAGAAAGAAATGGAGAGAGGAGGAAGGGAGGGAGAGAAGGGAGGGAGAGGTGGAGAGAGGGAGGGAGAGGAGGGAGGGAGAGGAGAGAAGAGGGAGATGGGGAGAGAGGGAGGGAGAGAGATGGAGAGAGAGATGAGGGGGAGGGAGGGAGAAAGAGGGGGAGGGAGGGAGAGAGAGAAAGGGATAAGGGAGGGAGGGGAAGAAGAGAGAAGGGGAGATGGAGAGAGAAAGAGGGAGGGAGAGATAGATGGGGAGGGAGGGAAGGAGAAAGGGAGGGAGAGGTGGAGAGGGGGGAGAAGGAGAGAAAGAAAGAGAAATGGAGAGAGGGGGAGGGAGAAAGAAGAGGGAGGGAGAGAGAAGGGAGGGAGGGAGAGGAGAGAGGGGGGAGATGGAGAGAGAAGGAGGGAGGGAGATGGAGAGAGAAGAGTGGGACGGAGGGAGAAAGTGGGAGAGGTGGAGAGGGAGAGAGGGAGAGAGAAAGGGAGGGAGGGAGATGGAGAGAAAGATGAGGGGGAGGGAGGGAGAAAGAGGGAGAGAGGTGGAGGGAGGGAGAGAGAGGGAGAAGGGAGGGAGGGGGAGAAGAGAAGGGGAGATGGAGAGAGAAAGAGAGGGAGGGAGAGATGGAGAGATGGGGAGGGGGGAAGGAGAAAGAGGGAGGGAGAGGTGGAGAGGGGGGAGAGGGAGAGAGAAAGAAAGAAATGGAGAGAGGAGGGAGGGAGAGAGAGAGAAGAGAGGGAGGGAGAGGAGAGAGAGGGGGAGATGGAGAGAATGAGGGAGGGATGGAGATGGAGAGAGAAGAGGGGGACGGAGGGAGAAAGTGGGAGGTGGAGAGGGAGGGAGGGAGAGAAAGGAGAGAGAGAGAGAGGGGAGGGAGGGAGAAAGAGGGAGAGAGGTGAGGAGGAGGAGAGAGAAAGGAGAAAGGGAGGAGGGGGGAAGAGAGAAGGGAGATGGAGAGAGAAAGAGAGGGAAGGAGAGAGATGGAGAGAGAGAAGAGGAGAGTGGGAGGGAGGGAGGGAGAAAGAGAGAGAGAGAGACTTAAGTAGAACTTCCATATTCAGGCCAGCTCTATCTTTAAATGCCAGGTTTGGACCAGGCAAGAATTTTGGGCTTTAAAAACATGGGTTATCAAGTCCTGTTGAATAAGAGAACATGGAAAGGGTTAGACTCCAAACCCTGCTCATTTTTTTCTTTTGCATAAATGGAAGAAGCTTGCGGGTGACACAAGAGTTTTCTCTCTGGAGGAAGCGTTCTGTCGGATTTGAAACCTTGCATATTTTATTGCATTTTGCTTTGTCTGGATTGTTCCTTATCCAGGCGCCAATCCAATTTAGCGCCTCCATTGTCAGCTATTTCATTTTTTGCACTCGCACGCCAAGTACAGGGAGTCCTCGAGTTATGACCACACTTGAGCTCAACCTTTCCATTGCTAAGCAGCAGCGGTTAAGTGAATTATGCCCCATTTTACAACCTTCCTTGCCACAGTTGTTAAGTGAACCCCTGCCATTGTTAACTTGGTAAGACCGTCGTTAAGTGAATCTGGCTCCCCCCCATTGACTTTTACTTTTCGGAACCCTGCAAAAAGGGATCACATGATCCCTGCAACAAATACGTGCCAGTTGCAAAGCATTCTGAATTTCTGCAACGGCCGTAAGTGTGAAAAACGCTAATCGGTCACTTTTTTTCAATGCCATTGTAACTTTGGTCACTAAGCAAGTGGTGAGCCTGCACCGTTAGCTTGACTTCAACTCCCAGAATCCTCTCTAGTGCGCGCGCACTATCTTTTCCCGCAAGGTTTGGACTTCAACTCCCAGAATCCTCCCCAGCCGGCGCATGCTCGTTCCAGCGGACCCCAAAGCGGAAAGCCCTCCGCCCTCGCGAGTGGCTGGATTCCAACCCCGCCCCCTGAGTTATTTCTTCGGCGCAGGCGTGCTATCCGAGAGGCTTTCTGGGAGTTGAAGTCCAGCGCCTCAGGAAGGCGGCGAAGCATGGACGATGCCCGTTCTTTTCCCTCATGGAGCTCAGGGATTTGGGCACCTTCCCCTTACCGCCGGCTTGGCGGGCGAAGCTAACGGCCGCCGGTTTCCAGACGGCCCAAGAGATGCTGGAGGTCGGGCCTTGCCAGCTGAGCAAAGGTATCGCGGCGGCCTGAGGGAAAAAACGGGTTTTCCCGCCAAAAAAAAAAAAACCAACAACTTCGCCAATTTGGGTCAAAATGAACTTTATTCTTCGGATCTTTCCTCACGACCACCTTAATTTCCACAGAGGGGTTGTCGTCTTTTTTCCTCCGTCTTTTGAAGCGCTTGATGTCTTTTTTTCCGAGAAAAGTTTTTGAACTCGGATAGGTTGCTGGCCTCGATAAACCAAAACACCTTTTTCGTGAGAGGATTTAACAATCCCACTTCTTGTCAGACACAGTTTTGTGTGGTGGAGGGGGAGATATTTTTTTTTTGGAGCCCCCTAAAATGATGTGTATGTGTCGGGGGGGGGGTCAGACTCAAAACGAGTGCTCCATCTATTTTATTTTATTTTATTTTATTTATTACATTTCTGTGGTGCCCATCTCGCTCTAAAAAGTGACTGGCTAAAAATAATACCCCGGGTCGATGTTAAAAACAATAACTATACACTTTGACATGCATAACTTTATATAACATTCTCTCTTTCCTAAAATTCTCTTAGCTATATTCGCTATAAGTAGAACTCTGTGTGTGTGTTGTATATTACACAATATATGTATATATTTGATTAAATAAAAGTGTGGGTCTATATACAGACATACATAGTAAAGAAAGAAGCAAGACATTCTGCGAGCTCCAGAACTTAAAATTTGAAAATAATTAAAATTTTATTTTACTAAGCTTTCGTCAGCCATCTGCTGACATCTTTAGAGTATTAAACTACCATTACAGAGATCTCTGCCTTTTTTAAAAAAAAAATTGTTATAAACTAAAAACAAAAGACAGAAAGAGGACAATAACAAAACAAAATTACATACATACATTTGAGGTTGATTCAACCCCCATATATATACAGTTCGTAAGTAAAATTACATATCGTCATACTATAGCTTCAATTAATTTTATCATATTTCATCTTGTACTTATTAGTCTTCTTGTATCTAATATTACCTTATATATATTTAGCTTACTATTTTCAAATCTGTGCTGTATGCTTTCCTAACATCTACCTCATATCATTTTTACTTCTATCCATTTATACCATTTATACCAGTTTTGATTAAATATTGATTCATGTCTATCTTTAAGAATATATGTTAGTCTATCACATTCTGCACACCGCAAAATTTTGTTAATAATCATCTGGTCCGATGGTACTTCTTTCTCTTTCCAAAATTGTGCATATGCAATTCTAGTTGCAGTGGTAGTATGAATAAAAAGGTACCAGTCTATTTTCCTTATGCCCGCCCCCCGCCCCCCCGGGTTTATTCCTAATAGGTAGACCTCTGGTCTCAGTTGAAAGCTAACTCCTGTAATCTCCATGAGCCAGTCCTTTATCTTACTCCAGTAGCTTTGAGCTTGTACACATGTCCACCATTGGTGGTAAAATGTACCCCTGGCTGACCCACATTTCCAACATTCTGCTGGAGTTCCTGGAAACATCTTTGCGATTCTTGCTGATGGTATATGCCTTTATATGCCATTAAAGGCAGATCTCTGCCTTTATATGCCATTAATCAATTTGGCCCTTGCGCGTATAATAGGCCCTTCCAGCCGTCTCCCACTTGTAATCAGCTATGTTGTTTTTGCTGTCGTCATGTTGGATGATGGAGGCTTAATTCCTACTGCAGTGATGGCTAACCTTTTTGCCATTGCGTGCCAAAAGTGGGGGGAGTACAGGGGGGTCATGTATGTGCATGTCCACACTCATAATTCAATGCCCCCTGCCTCCATGCATGCATGCATGACCCCCCCGTGTGACCCCCACTTTTGGCACATGATGGCATAGTAGGCCCGGTTTTTTGCCCTCCCCAGGCTCCAGAGCCTTTCTTGGAGCCTGGGGAGGGGGAAAACCGCCTTCTCCCCACCCCCGGAGACCTTCTGGAGGCCAGAAATGGCCCGTTTCCCGACTTCCAGTGGGCCTGGAATACCTGAAAATCAGCTGGCCAGTGCGTGCATGTGCGCTGGAGCTGAGCTAGGGCAATGCACGCGTGCCCACAGATATGGCTCTGCGTGCCACCTGTGGCACGCCCGCCATAGGTTCGCCATCACAGTCCTACTGTTTCCACCCTCCCAGCTTGCTTATCAGTGGGGGATGATGTTAGCCTGTCAACCATTGCAATTTGCTGCCTTGTCCCTGACCTTGTGGTCGGCCAGGTTCGTTTCTCATTAATCCTATCTGTTACAGTTTGAGACAGCCCTGCTGGGTTGCTCTGTGTTTGGTCAGGGCTAACTATGCCTTCACAGGCTGAGTCTGCATGCTCAGAGGTTGGGGGTGGGTGCCTTTGGTCTCTGCTCACTGATGAAAAGCCGTTTCTGCTCCTCCTGCAGGGTCTTTCTTGGTGTCTCAAAGCCTGGTAGGCCGGTGGCAGTTCGATATGCCAGACATACATATATATACACAGACACACATATGGTACAACATGTTTACAACCACATGCATTTGCCTGTGCTGGAGACCAGAGATTTACTCTTCCATATAAATATATGGAAATATATTGTGTACACAATACACACAGACACACACTTATATGGAAGAGTAAATCTGGTCACTGGGACGGGTGAATGAATGTAGTAAACATGTACCATATCTCTCTGTGTGTGTATGTACAGTAGTGGCAAAATTTAAAATGTTTAAACATTTTAACTAACTTATTTAACATGACACGGAAAAACACCCGAGATTTTAATTTTTTGCATATATATATATATATATATATATATATATATATATATATATATATATATATTATATGTGTGTGTGTGTGCATGTGCGAGTGCACTTCAAATACTCCCACAGTGGATCTGGCCATCTGTTAAAACTCCTGGGTTGTACATGAATCTGAAGCAAAATGCCTCTGTTGAAGGAGTTGATTCCTAACATGAGTTCAAAGAATCTTGTGTCACTTTCTGCATTTTATGGCATTTTATAAACTGTAATGTAAGATACATTTTGTCTAAGATGACAAAATAAATTGGAGAATAAACCCGGTGGGTTTTGCTTTTTAGTGGACAACAGTAGGAATGTAGTATTATCTTTGTCAACCACAAGGTGATGCTATCATGCCATGCTTTAGTTTTCATTAAAAAAAAAACAACAGGTGGGTTTGAAGAAGCATAAATAAAATGAAGAATAAAAGGGATTTTTTGATATATCAAAACCCTAAGAAAATATATGGCAATTATGAAAGCTTCATATTTTTCCTTCATATTGGTTGTTTATTCATGCTCTGCTCTTCTCTTCTACAATTTGTTTATCAATATATAAAAAGTACAGGTATAAGAAACAGATTGAAACATTTCTAGTAATTAAAAAGCAAGTGCCCAGCAATAGCAGTTGTTAAAAAAACCTTGTTAAAAGTTTCAACTACAAGAACATTTCTTATAGGTATTCCCCAAAGAAGGATACCTTTTTAAATGGCTATTAGTTAACTAGTTGTGTCTTTTTAATTATATTAATATATTCTGTGTTTCGATTTTTCAGAGATTGGCATTTCTAAAGAAGATGCTCTAGAAATTTTAAAGGTGATCAAACGGGAACAGCAAAATGATGGAGCAAAACCTTCTGAGGAAGCAGAAACGGTTAAGAAGAGGACAGCCCTGGAACTGTTGGAAAAAGAGCAGACTCAAGGATTCATCGTCACTTTTTGCTCTGCATTGGATGACATCCTTGGTGGGGGTGTGCAGCTCACCAAAATTACAGAGATCTGTGGAGTGCCAGGTGTTGGGAAAACACAATTGTGGTAAAACACACTACTAAGGCTCACATTTCTGTAACTTCCCTGTGTTTATCATTCTCTTTGAAAAATCTTGTTGACTTTATTAACTGTTAGCAATAGCAATTGCACTTAGACTTATATACCGCTTCATGGTGCTTCACAGTACTCTCTGGGTGGTTTACAGAATCAGCCTATTGCCCCCAACAAATCAAGGTCCTCATTTTATCAACCTCAGAAGGATGGAAGGCTGAGTCAACCTTGAGCTGGTGGGATTTGAACTCCTGGCAATGGACAGAGCTAGCCTGCGATACTGCATTCTAACCACTGTGCCACCACAGCTCTTCAAGTTGATACCATCAAATCTTGATGAATTGAAATCACAACTCCATGTTTAGTCTCATTTCCAAGTGCTTGGCATCCAGAAGGCAATTTGGCAACATTAAGACTTCTAGACTTCAAATTCCAGAATTCCCAAGCTAGCATGGCTGGCTAAGGAATTCTGGGAGTTGAAGTCCACAAGTCTTAAACTTGCCAAGTTTGGAGATCCCTGCTCTAGTGATCAAGGCAACAGGCTAGAAATCAGAGGACTCTGAATTCTACTCCTGTCTGTCTTAAATTTGAAAACGTGGCTGAGTGAATTTGAGCCAGACACCAGGAGTGAGTGAGTTCTAGTCCTGTCTTAAGGTATGAAAGCCAGCTAGGTAACTTGGAGGCCTGTCTCCCTCTCTCAGCCCAACCCACTTCACAGGGTTGTTTTTGTGGCGGAAAATAGGAGGAAGGGATATTATGTATGTTTGCCGCCTTGAGTTATTTATAAAGATAATAAAGGTGGGATGAAAATCTAATAAAGAAGATGGATAGCTATTACCAGCCAGAACAAATAACTGGGAAAGAGTCATAACTGGCTAGATAGCAACAGTCTGACCTTAAAAGACAGCCGCTTAACACTCATAGCATATGTACTACTAGCATTTCTGTCAGTGAGCTCCTACAGTCTGAAAAACCTTGATCAGCTTTTGATCCTGATTTACTGGCTGGCTTTCAGCAAATTCATTTCAACTAGAGTGCTTTAATGTAGATTATAATACTGGCGTCTATCTTAAAAAGATGTAAGAATTCCTATTACGGATATAATGGCTGGATTTCCACACTTGGTTGAACCCGTGTTTTCTTTGGCTTAGCTTAACCAAACCATCATATTTAAAGTACTTGAATACCATACATAGAGCCTTTTGCCATCAGGATTATAGAATACCTAGGAAACAACAGCAAAAGCTCATCTTCCCCAGGCAAAGGTTTTCCTTCCTGTTCATAAAATTAAATATAGTATAATTATGATCAGCTAAAGATTTTTTAGCATTCCGAGAGAAGCCACATACAAAATCAGAAGCTTTGGAGCTTTGCCTTCTCACCATTACAGGCAGTCCTCACTTAAAAATCAGAATTTAAGCCCAACATTTCTGTTGCTAAGCAAGACAGTTGTTAGGTGAGTTTGCTCCATTTTATGACTTTTCTTGCCATAGTTGTTAGCTGAATCACTGAATCAATAACAACTGCAGTTGTTAAATTTGTAACGTAATTGTTAATTGAATCTGGCTTCCCCCGTTGACTTTACTTGTCAGGAGGTTGCAAAAGGGGATCATATGACCTCAGGACAGCATAATGCATGCCAGTTGCCAAGCACCCACATTTTGATCACATGACCACAAGGATGGTCATAAGTGTGGAAAACAGTCATAAATCAGTTTTTAAGTGCCATTGTAACTTTGAACGGTCACTAAACAAAAGGTTGTAAGTCGAGGACTACTTGTACTGCATTGCCACTCTGTCCTTTTAGAAGATGTACATTCTCTTTACTTTTCCTCTAGTTCTGTCACGTCCATCATCATTTGTGGTATGTTTTGAAAGGCTCACCTCACTCCGAGTTCTTCCTTTTCTGACAGATCCTACAATTTCTGGAGGTAACTTTCTATTCATTTTTTATATTCCCCTCCTTTCATTTCCTATATATGATTCTTTTACTCTTCCGCGTTTTTAGAGAATTCTGCACATATCCACATTGGCCTCTTTCGGTTTCTCTCTTTTTTCTTTCTTGTGGAGATTGTTGGTGTTTGCACTTTCAGTACGTCATTTTGCAAGATTTCCTACCCTTCCTGTTCAATTTTCTTCCTTGGGATTTCAGGGCCATGGGAACCGACCTTTCCTTCCTCAGAGTCCATCAAAATCTGCTCTCGTTCTCGTTTGTCTTTCTCCAGATACCATTAATTCAAGGCTAACAATGTTCACTTTCCCCCCAAGGTACCTTGTCATTTTCACTTCTTTAAACAATTAATCTCTGATGGTGAGAATTAGATCCAGGGTGGCAGATCCCCTTGTTCTTGTTTTTTTTTATTGTTATACCTTCCGAGAAATGAAGTCGGCAAGAGAGAACGAGAATTTGTTCGACCTTTGACTCTTGGCAGATTCCCAGCAGATGTCAGGATAATTGAATTTTTCCATTATCAATATTGCATGCCTCTTTGAAAGACTGGTCATCTAATGCAAATAGATCAGTGGCCATTAACCTTGGTGGCCGTGTGACAGCCACTGAAGGCCATCTGCTGGGAGGCTAGTGGGCTTCCTTGTATGCTTGGTTGGCCACTGTGAGAACAGACCGCTGGACTAAATGGACCCTAATTATGTTCTTACGACCTCATGACCCCATCTTTATCTTCTGCCTGTCCAAATGGTCAGTAATAATCCCTCATAATCATGTCCGGTTTTTGTTTCTCTCTGCATTCTTAGAGATAATATTCTTTAACAATGTAAGCCAACCAGAGTCACCTTGTGGCGAGGTAGGTGGTAAATAAATTTAATAAACAAACAAACAAATAAATAAATAAAGATAGTCGCACATTTCATGCAGGATTTCCATGCTCTGATTCCTGAATTTCTGAACAAGCATATTTGTTCTTTACATTTAATTCAACACTCCCACACACACACACCCTTTCTGTTGAGTTTGTTCCAATAAATTGCTACTTTGCACTGTTATATATGCCAGTGTTAAGTAACATCCTGCCAACTTTCAGCAATGTACCAATAGAAGAAAATATTTGCAGTCACCAGGATTGAACTGTGGGGTCCTTGGTGCTCTCTGAGCTGGGCTGTCTTTTTGCAGACATTTTAGGAATGTCCACCTAAACATATTTGTCTTCCTGATTTAGAATTTCTGTACTCTGTGCATTGGTGTAAAAACTTCAGAAGTTTCAAATTCCACCTACTGATCTCTCTGTTATAGTGTCCTGCAAAACCCCTCATCCTGGTTCCTGCTGCTCCACTGTGTTCAGTTTTCTTGGCCCCAATCTTTGGCTGCATAATTAGGGAGAATCTCGTTTCTTTCCAGGAGTCATTCATGAGGGTAGGAGAGGTTACTGTCATAAAATGCTTCTGATGTAAACAAATTCTTAAAATAAGAACAACAGGGTTGGAAGGGACCTTGGAGGTCTCTTAGTCCAACCCTTTGCTCAAGCAGGAGACCATATACCATTTCAGACAAATGACTGTCGAAGCTCTTCTTAAGAACCTCCAGTGATGGAGTATCCATAACTTCTATTCCGCTGATTAATTGTTCTCGCTGTCAGGAAATTTCTCCTTATTTTTAGGTGAATCTCTTCTTAATTAGTTCCCATCCATTGCTTCAGGTGCTTTGGAGAATAGGTTTTTATTTTTATTTTTATTTTATATCCAATTTATATACCGCCCGTCTCCCTGAGGACTCAGGGCGGTGTACAGCCGAATAAAAACATAAATTACAAACATTAAAATAGTATTAAAAGAATATATATAAATTTGGCCCCGTAATTTAAAAACAATAACAAACCAATAAAAACATTTTAAAAAAAAGTTAAGCCAGCCCAGCTTGCTGAAAAAAGAAGGTTTTAAGGGCACGGCGGAAGGCACCGAGGTCTTAGATTCTCTTTATCTCTGGGGGCAGTTGGTTCCAGAGGGTGGGTGCCCCCACAGAGAAGGCCCTCCCCCTGGGGGTCACCAGCCTACATTTTTTTGGCTGATGGCACCCCAAGGAGGCCCTCTCTGTGGGAGCGCACAGGTCGATGGGAGGCCGTCGGTAGGTTGACCCCCTCTTCTTTGTAGAAATTGGAATAAGGCTATCATGTCACCTCTGGTCCTTCCCTCCGCTAGACTAGACATACCCAATTCCTGCAACCGTTCTTTATATGTTTTAACTTCCAGTCCTTTAATCATCTTCTCTGTACTCTTTCTGAAGTCTTAACATCAAATGTAAAGCTGAGATTGCAGAACAGCTTCCCAAGGAAAGTGTCTGTTCTAATTCTGTAACAATGCTTTTGTAAAAATCCTGTTCCCTTTTTTTCCGTTACATAATTACTTTGTGAGCCCCAAGTCCATGAGATCGAAATGGTTGCAATAAACAGTATACATGTTTGTAATAAACAGTACACAACATCCTCTCTACTGAATTTTTCTAGTTTTTGTTGCTAAGTGCTTTTAACAATTATGTTGAGGTCCTCCAGATGATGCTATTGCTTGTCCCAGTAAAATATGTCAGAAACACTCTCCCATCTTCCTCATCTATGCAGCAGCAGAGGGGAATTTGCAAGCCCCCGTTTTCGTCTTTACAGAACCTGGCATAGTACTGTTATTCTTAACCAGGGTTTGTGTCACGTTTCGTACTACTGTCTTGTTTCATGAAATTGTAGTTTAGGATCACTCTGTTTAAGATTCAGATGTAAGACTAAATTGCTTAATTGAAACAGAAGGAAAGGCTTCTGTTCTTATAGCTGGGCCAGAATGAGAGAGGGAGGTGTTGAAATCTGGAATGAGGCTTGTTCCCATCACAATAAAATTATGTATCTGAGCCCTGCTATTATAAATATATTGGATTGCATAAAATGCTGAATAATAAGGTGCTGCGAGGCTTTTGGAAATAATGCTGAAAAGGTAGCACCTTTCTGTAATTCCTTAAAGCAAGGGGCAATGGCAGAATCTCAGGGAAACCACTCCTACACACTCTGGAACACCTTTTCTGAATTATTTCCAAAGCTCTGCACAACCCCACTGAGTACCGTAGGAGTATTTTGTGTGAAGAAGCTGTTCTGGAAAGAAGTAAACCCGAATAGATTACTTAAAATGCACTGCAGTCTTGCTCGTTTGCAAAATGGCAAGGTTCATCTCAAGCCATAAAATGGATGGAGTAACTTTATCCTAGTTTGGGCCATGTTAAACTAGGTCCTGTTGAACAAATCATGTGTCTGAATGATGCATATGCTTTGGGGACTTGGTTGTGTTGATTTTACTGCTCACAGGTTTTCAGTGACTGCCCCAGACTTGTTAATACCCCCTGACATTGAGGTCTTGTTGTAATTAATGGGAGTTCAAAATATAGAGTCTTAACCTATAAAGGATAATATTTGTATGTCAGGGTTGAAATAGTGGACTAGCACTGATGATGTTACCTAGTTTGGGTAATGAATGTGTTATCTAAACATCTGCAAGAAAACAACCAAACTCAGAGCATCAAGGACCCCACACTGTTTTTATGGTGTAGCAGTGAAAGGCACCTAGATAAAAACTGGATGACTGAATTCTGGTCCTGGCTTAGAGCCAGCTAGATGACTTTGGGCTGGTCACCCTCAGGTGTAAGAAGAAGGAAAGGGCAAACCACTTCCCAAAAATGTTGCCAAAACAACTGCAGGGACTTATCTAGGCAGTCACCAGGAGTAAAGTCTTACTACCTCTTCTGTACCAAAGGTGCTTTTTTCAAGAGGCAACTAGACTTTCTGGTTTTCCTTTGAAGACATTTCGCTTCTCATTCAAGAAGCTTCTTCAGAGCTGAAGAAGCTTCTTGGATGAGAAGCAAAACGTCTTCAAAGGAAAACCAGAAAGTCCAGTTGCCTCTTGAAAAAAGCACCTTTGGAACAACTGTGACCTGGTTGACTGAGAATCTCCATAGACATTTAACTACTACTTCTGCTTTCTCCTCACCCTTCAGACCACAAATCTTAAAAGTTCCTCACCACAGAACGTGAAGTGTTGGTGTTTCCCATTCAATATACCCTTTAAACAAATGAAAGATTGGTTTCTTTGGAGTTAAGGTTTGATTATGTACCATCGAGTTGACTCTTAATAACCAAATAGATAGATTTTTTTTTCTATGATGATCTGTCTTTCAGACCTTCAAACCATGCACTCATCACCACTGTCACTTGAGTCCTTCTGCTGGTTGTCTTCTTCTCTTTCCACATTTCCCAGCATTAGAGGCTTCTCCACATAGCTAAATCGTTGCATAACAATGTCCACAGTAGGATAATTTGAGTCTGGTCATTTGTGCTTCAGGTGAATCTGGGTTGATTTGTTTGATGATCCATTTGTGTTCTTTGACTGTTGATGGTCTACTCCCAACACCAAAGTTCAGAAGCATCAGTACTTTTCCTATCCTGCTTCAAAGTCCAGCTCTCATTTCCATAAAGGGACAAACATGGCCATATCATGATTGCAAAGTTCTGATCTTTGTAGATATGGACGTATCATGGCTTCTGAATGTATTTTCCAAGACCTTCATTGCTGGTCCACAAAAGTTCTAGTCTACAGCATATTTCTTGACTCTTGACTCCTTTACTGTTGATGCTTGCTCTTAAAAGGAGGACATTATTTAACACTTTGATACCTTCACTATCAATTCTAAGGCTGGTTGTTGTACCTTTGTCATTAATTTGTTGATCTTTATATTTAGAATAAAGAATGAATAACAGAGTTGTAAGGGACCTCAGAGGTCTTGAACCCCTGCTCGAGCAGGAGACCCTATACATTTCCGGACTAATGGTTGTCCAATCTCTTCTTAAAAATCTCCAGTGATGGAGCACCCATGTCTTCTAAAGGCAAGTCGTTTCACTGGTTAATTGTTCCCACTGTCAGAAAATTTCTCCTTAATTCTAGTTTGGAGCTCTCTTGAATGCTCTTCCACCTATTACTTCTTGCCCTGCCCTCAGGTGCTTTGGAGAATAGGTCGATCCCCTCTCCTCTATCACAGCCCCATAAATATTGGAAAATTCCTACCATGTCAGCCCTAGTACTTTGTTAGACTAAACATACCCAGTTCCTGCAACCGTTCATCATTGCAATCTCTTGTTTTTCATTGTGCTTTTTAACTTCTGTTACAAGACTTTGCAGACCCTTTGCATTTTCAGCCATCAGGGAGTAAAGCAATGAGTCGATTTGTCATAACCTTTCTCCATTGATGTTTTATTATCACTCTCCTTCTTTCCAGCATGCAGCTAGTGGTGGATGTGCAAATTCCAGAATGCTTTGGTGGACTTGCTGCGGAAGCTATATTCATAGATACCGAGGGGAGCTTTATGGTTGATCGAGTTGTGGATATAGCAGAAGCCTGCATTCATCACTGTCAGCTTATTGCTGAAGTGCACCCAGAAGAAGGTTAATTGCCAAACTATATTTGCTTTCGTGCAAAGTGTGCTTTTTTTCCTGGCTACTTATTCAAACGGTTCCGTTTATTTCCTTAACCGTCATAGATCTATTCAATATTTATTCAAATATAGGAAGTAACTGTATGCGGTACTGAGTGAGAATGTTTTATTCATGCAGAATTAGATTGCAGTAATCAGTGTTTCTCAAACTTGGCTACTTGAAGATAGGTGGACTTCAACTCCCAGAATTAAAGTCTGTACATCTTCAAGTGGCCGAGATTGAGAAACACTGACAGTAATAAACTAATGGACATTCCTAAATTTGGAATAAGAGAAGGGCCATTGGACACTAAGCCTAGACATTTCTTATGCCCAAGCAAAGCACATAAGATGATAAAGACACATAAAGGGGAAAGGCTCAGAAACAGATTCTTTAGCTCTTGATTCTTTACTGGATTTTGCAAAAACTGCTTGGAGGTTGCTGCATTTCAAGGCTTGCTTTTTAAGTACCCTTCTGGAAGGGCTGATTCTTAAGGTGGTCTGAAAAGAATAAAGGCACAGATCTACTAGCAGAGTAATATTAGAAAACTGATGGGAATGCTTAGTCTAGTGGTTAAGGCACCAGGCTAGAAAGCAGGAGGCAATGAGTTCAAATCCCGCCTTAGCCACGAAAACTAGCAGGGTAACCTTGGACCAGCCCCTCTCAGCCCAACCCACCTCACAGAGTTGCTGTTGTAGGGGAAATAGGAGGAAAGTGTGTTGGGGATGTTCATCGCCTTGAGTTATTTGTGAAAATAATAAAGGCGGGGTACAAATAAATGAAGAAATAAATAAAAATTCCCCAGAATATCTTCTGACCTGGGGCAGCAGTCCTTGAGAAACCGAATTACGTAGATTGGTTTCATTTCACAGACAAAATTCATTAGGGATTTAACAGCTATCTGAATTGAACCAAAACACAAGCCTCTTGGAAACATTCACGGCTTGGAAAGACATTTGGCAAAATTCTGATTTTATGCAAATTTATGCAATGAGACAGTACAGAAAATTTGGGAACTGCAAATGGGTTTTGTGCAGGTATTTCCTTCTGCTCCCAACACTTTTCCTCTGTAAGAATAGATGTTTTAAGACATGCAACAAGACATTCTTAGTATTTATGTATTATATTTATATATGATAATCTAAATATGGTTATCAGTCTATCATAGTAAGTATATGTTGTATGATTAATCATACGATTATGTGATTTATTATTACAAAAGACTACCACAAGTTATCTCTGGAAGGAACTGATTATTCCCCATACCTTGCTCTGACAACAGCCTCTGTCTCTGAAGCCAGGAAGCAAGAGATGAGGAATAAACAATAAATTCAATACAGGTTTTTATTGGGTTTTTTTTCTTCCCCTTTTTTCTACAGATCATCAAATAGCCTTGGAGACTTTCTCTCTTGAAAATATTCTTTCACATATTTATTACTTCCGTTGCCATGACTATATGGAGCTGCTGGCACAGGTTTACCTCCTCCCAGATTTTCTCTCTGGACACCCAAAGGTAAGGACCAAAAAGAAGCGCGTCCCACAGAGGGGGAAAGAGAATGTATTAGAGTAGCAGGTCAACCACAATTAAGACCAAAATTTCTGTTGCTAAGTGAAACAGTTGTTAAGTCTTGAGTTTTGCCCTATTTTACGACCTTTCTTGCCATAATTGTTAAGTTAATGACTGCAGATGTTAAGTTAGGAACACGGTTGTTAAGTGAATCTGGCTTTCCCATTGACTTTGCTTTTCAGAAAGTCACAAAAGGGGATCACATGATCCCAGGACACTAATCGTCATAAATATGAACCAATTGTCAAGCATCCGAATTTTAATCACGTGATCGTGGGGATGCTGTAATACTCACAAGTGTGAAAAATGGTCATAAGTCACTTTTTTCCCTGCCGTTGTTAACTTCGAATGGTCATTAAACAAATGATTTTAACTCGAGGACTATCTGCAGCAGTTTGCAGCTTCTTCCCACCTTCTTCAGATTTACATAGTCTCTTTTTTTCCTCATTTAAAAATGAGAAAGATTTCGTTTCCTTTCTAGTATTCTATAGAATTTGTAAGAATATACAGGTAGTCCTCACTTGATGATCATTAGAATGTCTGCCACTAAGGATGCAGTTGTAAAGCGTCGTGTTATATGACTCCATCCCTTAGCAATGACAATTCTGGCAGTCCCCAGTTACCGTTGTTCAGGGTGGATAAAATTTGATGTTTTTTTTAAATGGATTTTTTTTATTTAAATCGGATTTTTTTTAATTTTTATCAAATTTATTTTAATAAAATGCTTTTGGAGTAAAAATCTATCTAAAGATAGTTTTCTATTTAAGATATATTAATAATTTATTCAGCATGAAATGGAGCTTAGGTGGCATGAGGCTGTATATTCTGCAATATTGAGACTGTTGGTGAGTCAACAGCGGGTCGTGAGGAGCTGCTGCGGGACAGAGATGACAGTTGCTCTTTAAAAATTACGATTTAAATCAAGCCTTTTTACTAGTGATTTAAATCATGATTTAAATCGACTTGATTTAAATAAAATCCACCCTGCCCTTGTTAAGCAAGGACCTCACGTGATCCCAACATCCGACTTCCTACCAGCTTCCCCATTGACTTGCTTGTGGGAAATCAGTAAGGAGGTTGCAGATCGCAATCACAGGGTGATAGGATGTTGTGAAGATTGGAAATCCAGGCTGGTTGCTGAGCGTCACGATTGCGATCATGTGACCACAGGGACGTTTCGACTGGCAGAGCTTTGAGGATCCATCATAAGTATTGCTTCTTCAGCACCATCATAAATTCAAATAGTCTCTTAACGAACGATTGTTAAATGAGGTCTACCTGTATGTTACAGATCCTTCTGACAGAATGTTCCTGAAAAGAAATCCTTAGTTTAATACAGAGCTCCTAAGAGAGATTCCCCCTTAAGCCCTTGCGGTCCAGATGGGAAAACATTTGTTCTCTTGGAAACTGCAGGCACTTCTTTTGGGGGTGTGGGGGAAGATGCAAGAATTCGTTTGATGAAGTCGAGCAGGGGGAGAAAGAGAGAACTACTGCAAGGTTCTTGGAATTTGTAGGAAGAAAGATTTTTCAAATAACAATCTGGCACAGAGGTAACGTTTCTTCTAACAAGCCCCTACTAGGTAGTAACCACACTGAGTTTTACATATAGAGGATAAAGGGGAGGATGCCGAGCAAAAGCATCCCCTTTTGGTAGCAGCAAGAATTATCCTGCTGCTCCTTGTAGGAGGCAGAGCCGGGGTGTATATTTCAAGAACATTTCTGGGAGAGGAAGTTTGAGGCTTCTATCCTTTCATCCTCTCAGCTCCACCATACCACTGCAAGAAATGAAAATAATAAATTATTTTCCCTTGACTAAATGTTTCTGGATGCTTTGACTTACATGGCTGTCAGTTATCTCTGTTTTCTAGAAACTGGACATAGTTTATACACCTCCTTGTTCCCTGCCCCATTCACCGATGGAGCTTGGAACTTGCTGGCTTTCCCACTGACACTGGCTGTGGGAAGCTGACGGGAGGTTGCCTTGCCCAATGACTGCAGAATTCAACTAACACTTTACTTTTTCTCTTTAAATGAAACCCCTTTTAATGGGTTTCATTTTATAATTGTATTTTACATCCCTATTTTTTTCCTGCCCACCTAGCATTTCGAAAGCATGCAAATGCGTGGAGATAAATAGGTACCACTTTGGTGGAAAGGTAACAGCAGTCCGTATTTTGCCGCATGCTGTGCACTGCGATGTGATGTCATGCTGGCCACATGACCACAAGAAAGGTCATGAGACGGTTTTCTTGGCTAAGAAATGGAGATGAGCACTGCCCCCTAGAGTCGTACATCACTGGACAGAGAAACCTTTAGCTTTTACCTTTTATTCCTATTTTATTCCATTGTAAGCCCCTCGCTCTCAAAATGAGATGGGTAGCATATGAATTTAATAAATAATACATACATAGCAAGAGCACTTAGACTTATCTACTGCTCCATAGTCTTTTGCAGCCCTCTAAGCAGTTTATAGAGTCAGCATCTTGCCCTCAACAGTCTGGGTCCTCATTTTACTGACCTCTGAAGGATGGAAGACTGAGTCGACTTTGAGCCGGTGAGCATTGAACTCTGGCAGTCGGCAGAATTAGCCTGCAATACTGCATTTTAACCATTGCGCCTCCACGGCTCTTACATACATAAACAGCAGCAATGAAGATTGTAGGAATTGCTGTCACCAAGCAGTGAGGTTGCTCTTTACGAATTCTGGTCTCAGTTACAATTGTAATTCAAGGACTAACTTGTACAGGGATTTATATGTCACGAGTGTTATCCTGAGAATCTCAGCTTTTGGTTGTAAGAAATAAAAGGCTTTTTAGCGTGTCATTACACAGACAACCTTTTCAACATACAGCCAGACGTTACAAAACAAAAGTTGTAAGAGAAGAGAATTGTGATGCTGTTTAGCTCTTTTTAAACTGCCGCTTTCTGCCTTTAAAGCGGAATCAGAGAACGGAGCCTGAAATAGGTTGAAGGGTCATTATAAACACCTCATTACTTCAGGTGTTTATTATGGGAACTCAGAACTAAACACCGGATGATAACAGCTGGAATTTTTTTAAATTAACTTTCCTATATCATCAGTAATATGACTGGCATTTTTTTCCCATGCAAACTGAACATTTTTCTGAAACAAATCACCTATTTTCATAAAGGTTTTTTTAAATCCTCCAATTCAAAATTATCTAGTAACCGACATCAGTATCTGTTCTGAGCGAATACCCGACCTCTTCTTCATTTCCAGGTCATTGTAATGGTTAAGCACAATTAACAGTCAGAACATCTGAGGATCGTGGGAGGCTTATTAAGATGCTACTGTTCTTATTTTATTTTTTTTTACATCTGATGGAGAAAAAAACTGCAGCCATTTCCTGTGAGAGTCATCATGGTTTTATAACTTGGAATTCTATAAATAGAATAACGAACTCCAATGAGGCAAAGGGTTAATCCCTTTCAGATTAATCTATACTTAATGTCCCTCAACCATAAAATGACAAGGAGCCCTTTGATTTAATAATGAAGGATCCCTGAGGGGAAAAAATAATAATTTTATTTACAGGCATCCCAGCTTTTCTGATACAAATTTCTGTCTCTCTGTTTTCTATCCGATCATTAGGTACAGTTGATTGTGATTGATGGAATTGCGTTTCCTTTCCGCCATGACTTCGAAGACCTCTCGCTGCGAACGAGACTTTTGAATGGCCTGGCCCAACAGTTGATATGCATTGCAAATGACCATACGTTATCTGTAAGTTTGAGGGAAAATGGAGATACGTGGCTAAGCCAGTAAATGGTGCAGGTAGCCCTCGACTTACGACCTCAGTTGAGCCCATAATTTCTGTTGTTAAGTGAAACATTTATTAAGTGAACTTAGACCCATTTTACAACCTTTCCTGCCACAGTTGTTCAGTGCATCACTGCATTTGTTAAATTAGTAAGACGGTTGTTAAGTGAATCTGGCTTCCCCATTGCATCTGCTTGTCAGAAGATCACAAAAGGGGATCACATGATCCTGAGACATTGCAATGGTCATAAGTATGAGTCAGTTGCCAACTATCTGAATTTTGATCATTTGACCACGGGGACACCGCAATGGTTGTTAAGTGTGAAAAATGGTCATAAATCACTTTTTTTCAGAGCCGTTGTAACTTCGAACGGTCACTAAACAAACTGTTGTAAGTCGAGGACTATCTGTATAACTTTGTGACACTCATAGTGAGTAAACATTCGACAGAAAATTCGATGTGCTAACACTGCAATGTATTTTTTTGACATGTTATATAAACCTATCAATTGTGGTTGCTAAACCATAATTTCTAGCTTAATAGATTACTTAAAACCAGTTATTTATTCAACAGGGCATGATTCAACAAACGATAGCTTGACATAATGCAAATCCAGCTATTCCTTTGTTCTTATAAAGCTCATATTGTATGCGTTTTAAGTGGGTTAAGGATTTCCTTGCCTTTTGATTGTCATTATCTTTTTTATAAACATAAATGTCAGTTTGATCTAGTGATTAAGGCACCAGGAGATGATTGAGTTCTAGTCCCACCTTTGGCATAAAAGCCAGTTGGATGACTTTGGACCAGTCCCCAGGAGACAGTGAGTTCTAATCCCACCTTTGGCATGAAAGCTGATGGGTGTCTTTGGGCCAATCACCAGGAGATTGAGAGTTCTAGAAGAGCCATGGTGCTGTGGTGATAAGAATGCAGTATTGCAAGCTAACTCTGCCCACAGCCAGGAGTTCGATCCTGACCGGCTCAAGATGGACTCAGCCTTCCATCCTTCCGAGGTCGGTAAAATGAGGACCCAGATTGTTGGGGGCAAGAGGCTAACTCTGTAAAACCCGCTTAGAGAGAGTTGAAAAAGCACTGTGAAGCAGTATATAAGTCTTAAGTGCTATTGTTAGTCCCACTTTAGGAATGAAAGCCAGCTGGGTGTCTGTCACTCTCAACCCCACCCACCTCACCAGGTTGTTGTTGTGGGAAAAATAGGAGGAGGAAGGAGTATTGTGTGTATTCGCTGCCTTGACTTATTTATAAAATAATAAAGGCTGGATAGGTAGATAGAAGTAAAGAAGCTTCGTGGATGAGAAGCAAAATGCCTTCAAGGAACAATAAAGTCCAGTTGCCTTTTGAAAAATTACCTGTCGGACAGACAGACAGATAAATAGATAACAGGCAGGCAGAATCTTGTGAAGAGAAAACAAGTCTTGCCGAGAGACAATGTGGAAGAAATTCTTTAGTAAACTGCCTTTCGTCTCCTTTATTGCTGCATCCTTTGACCTCGGCCTGGAGGTGCTGCAGATATAGCTGGCTTCATGCCAACGGATGACACGCTTGAGCTACAGCTATTTATAGGTGGTTTTTTTCCAGCCTACCCAAGTTAGAAAGGATTGTTCCAGAATGAAGCTTAGGCACGTTCTGGAATGTTACTTATTTCCTGTTTCCAGGTAACATAGTTAAGCTGTCATTCTGTATGTACGCTGGGATTTTTCTTTCTTTTCTTTTCTTTTTTTTTTTATTGCTGGGCTGCTAAAAATAAGCCTCTCCATGTGTTTTTACTCAGATAGTGTTAGAAGACAACACAGAACCGCCTTAACGGATCAGTCTGTGAGCCTAAAATGTTATTTCCCAAGCTGGCTAAACAAGATACCAATGGGAAGCCTCACGTAGTACATTACAGCAATAACCCCCAGCTAAGAATATTCAGAGGCACCCCAGTTTAATCCATATTTTTATCTGAGGGAATCAATCTATTCTCCAAAGCACCTGAGAGCAGGACAAGAAATAATGGCTGGAAACTAACCAAGGAGAGAAGCAACCTAGAACTAAGGAGAAATTTCCTGACAGTGAGAACAATCAATCAGTGGAACGACTTGCCTCCAGAAGTTGTGGGTGGCTCCAACACTGATGGTTTTCAAGAAGAGATTGGACAACAGTTTGTCTGAAATGGTATAAGGTTTCCTGCCTGAGACCTCCAAGGTCCTTTCTAACTCTGCACTAGGTACTGACATCGGATTCTTTAGATCAGGTGCTGGATGAAGAAATCCTTCTTAGTTCCCTTTTTGAATTACTGACTTAAGTGGACCAATTTAGGGGCTTGATGGGCATATTCTGTATTGCTAAGATAATTCAAAATAGCTGTCTTATAGTACAAGGAAGGATGTCTGCTTGCTAAATGTTGGACATGATGAGCAAGTCAAGATTCAAACGATAAAATGCCTCGGAAAGAAAACTAGTGGGATTCTTCCCACAACCTCCTTTAACCCCTAGAATTCTCTCCACCAGTTTTTGTTTTGGTATTGCACCCAAGGCACCTATTACTAGTGTCGCTACTTTTGCTCTCTTTTGCCACAGTGGTTCTATTTCTGCTTGCAGGTCATTGTATTTTGTTGTCTTCTCCAGTTCTTTCTCTTCTATTGGCCTGTCTCCAGGTCCACTATCCAGACTTTTTGTCTTTCTTACCGACAATTGTTATGTCTGGGGGTGGCGCAGTGGTTAGAATACAGTATTGCAGGCTAATTCAGCTCACGGCCAGGAGTTCAATCCTGACCGACTCAAGGTTGACTCAGCCTTCCATCCTTCCGAGGTGGGTAAAATGAGGACCCAGATTGTTGGGGGCAAGATGCTGATATTGTAAAGCACGGGTGTCAAACTCGTGGCATAACATTGTAGTCACGTGACATATCGTGACGTTTTCCCCTTTGCAGAGCTGGGGTGAGCGTGGCCTGCGAGTGACGCATCTGGCCCGCGGACCGCCAGTTTGACACCCCTGCTGTAAAGCATGTAGCGGTATGTAACTCTAAACGCTATTGCTATTACAGATAGTCCTCGACTTACAACAGTTCATTTCATGAATGTTCGAAGTTACAACGGCCCTGAAAAAAGTGACTTACGACCATTTTTCACACTTACGACCATTACAGTATCCCCGTGGTTGTGTGATCAAAATTCAGATGCTTGGCAACTGGCTCATATTGGTGATGGTTGCAGTGTCCCAGGTCACCTTTCGTGGCCTTCTCTCAGGCAGTCAACGGGGAAGCCATTTAACAACCAGGTTACTAACTTAACAATTGCAGTGATTCACTTAACAGCCGGGGCAAGAAATGTCGTAATTTGGGGCAAAACTCACTTAACAAAGGTCTTACTCAGCAACATAAATTTTGGGCTCAATTGTGGTCGTAAGTTGATGACTACCTGTATTATTATTATTAGTGAAAGTGGCTATACCATATCTATTTGTGGCTCTCCAAAGGTTGATGGGAGCCAACTCCATAAGCCTCTGCAGCAAGACCAGTAATCAGTGACAAAGGGAGCTATAATCTAACTTAGTGGTTCTCATCCTTGGAAGCTTGAAGATGTGAACCTCAACTCCCATGTTGGCTGGGGAATGCTGGGAGTTGAGGCTCACAATTCTTCAAGTTTCTATGGTTGAGAAACCCAGGTCTAGCTGCTTTTATTTTGCAGTAACTATAAGCACTCATTTATTCGCCGTAGATTCTCTTCTTTTTTGCTTCTTTCAGGTAGTGTTGACCAATCAGATGACCACACGCTTTGAACAGAATCATTCCTCTTTGGTACCTGCCTTAGGTAAGCATTTCTACTTCCTGTTAGAGGAGGTGGGTTTTTTTCCCCCCTCTACCTATATTTTACTTTCTCTCTCATGAACAAAACAGTACAGTAATGGTCAATCTTCGTCCCCAAAGAATTCTTTCTGAAGGTATATTCACACAGAGAACATTTTACAGGGACTAAAAGTTCCTTGCTTACAATTCTGTTTTGCCACAGCCTTAGCTGTGATTGCATCTACTGCCTGTAGTCCATTCACTGGCTTCATTGTTTCTCGCCTTGCCTTATGGTGCTTTGGAAAATAGGTTGTTCCCCACAAAGAAGGGGGAGGGGGTGTCGACCCATTTTCCAAAGCACTTGAAGGCAGGACAAAGAACAATGGATGGAAACTAATCAAGGAGAGAAGCAACCTAGAACTAAGGAGAAATTTCCTGACAGTGAGAACTATCCTATCCTATCCTATCCTAACCTGTCCTGTCCTGTCCTGTCCTGCCCGTGGAATGACTTGCCTCCAGAAGTTGTTGATGTGTCATTACTGGAGACTTTTAAGAAGAGACTGGACAGCAATTTGTCTGAAATAGTATAGGGCCATGATGGCGAACCTATGGCATGTGTGCCATAGGTGGCACGCAGAGCCATATCTGTGGGCATGCGAGCATTGTCCTAGCTAAGCTCCAACGGGCATGCGCGCACCAGCCAGCTGATTTTTGGGCCTTCCAGGCGCACCGGAGGTCAGGAAACTGGCTTTTTCCTGCCTCCGGAGGATATTTGGGGTGTGTGGAGAAGGCCGTTTTTGCCCTCCCCAGGCTCCTAGAAAGCCTCTGGAGCCTGGGGAGAGCGAAAAACAGGCCTACCGGGCCCATCATGCCATTACATGCGAAAAGCTGGGGGAGCACAAGGGGGGATTGCACGCACATGCGCGGGGGGGGGGGGGGCAGTGCGCATTGAATTATGGGTGTGGGCACACACACACATGCGATCCCTCCGCACTTCCCCCGCTTTTGGCATCCGACGGCAAAAAGGTTAGCCATCACTGGTATAGGGTATAGGGTCTCTTGCTTGAGCAGGGGGTTGGACTGGAAGACCTCCAAGGTCCCTTCTAACTCTGTTATTCTAGTCCCATGATGGCAAACCTGTGGCATGCATGCCAGAAGTGGCACACAGAGCCGTCTCTCTGGGCACGCGAGCCATCACCCATTGCTCTTCCGGGTTCCGGCGCGCTGGCCAGCTGGTCTTCACACGTGCAGGAATGCCAGAAACTGGAAGACCAGGTGGCCGGTGTGCACACACACGCCAGAAACCGGAAGATCATCTTCCCGGCGCACACATGCACACCGAGCGGCTGCTCTTCTGGTTTCTTGCATGCGTGTGTGCTCCTGTTTTGGCACTCGTTGCCAAAAAGGTTCACCAACATTGTTCTAGTTCTTAAAAGCTGATGTAATATTATATTGGCTAGCTTTAAGGTGTCCCGAGAGTCTTAGCTGTTTTTATAGCCAAAGGTAAAAAAATTTCCAGTACTTGTCATCACAGGAACTCTAGAATATCAATTTTAACTATGCAGCTGGTAGCTTACACGGCGCATTCTTGATATGTAAACATCCGTAGAAATGGAAAAAAGAAATGGAAAGAGCCTTGGTGGCGCAGCAGACTAAAGCACTGTTATTAACATCTGCTGCTTGCAATTACTGCAAGTTCAAATCTCACCAGGCTCAAGGTTGACTCAGCCTTCCATCCTTTCGAGGTAGGTAAAATGAGGACCAAAGGGGCATCTTAGGAAGACCAAATTTACGGTGTAAGAGAAATAAATCACAGCCCCCTCACCTTCAAATGATAAGAGCGATTAATGATTGTTTGCTAGCCAGCATCTCTTCCCCTCGTTTTCCAAGGTCCCCCACACATTCCCTTACAGGTGCACTCTGACTAAAGATATTTTTATTTATTCGTTTATTAAATTTATATGCCGCCCATCTCCCCAGCAGGGGAGGTCAAGGTACCGAAGGTAATAAAACATGAAGAATTTTCTGTGCTGACACGAGATCTGCTGAATCAAACTCTAGAGTTAAGAGCCGGGGAAGCCAAAGAGAGGCCAAAGAAAAGATTTACAGAAAGCACTTTTTTTTTTCTCTCCCCCGCTGCTTCCTGCCAAGCAAATCTCTTCTTTTATTTTTAAGCAAAGCGTCCTTTGAGGTGAACTTGACTGCTGGGGACTTCCTGAACACATCCATTTAATTTTCTTGGCAGCTCTTTGGGTGGTTTGCCATCGCTTCATTTCAGGTTGCTTGGGATTTGTTGAGCTTATAGCCTGTGGTTCCTTGATGTGCTCCCATCCCAGTTCTTGCCAGATCCGACACTGTTTAGTTTTCTGAGAACAGCCCGTACTCCAGCAGAGACTTCAAATGCAAATGCTCTGAACTCTCGTCAGACGATCTTCGCTTTTGCATCCATCGATCATCTAAAAATGATTATTTGAATGACAACCATGTTATAACTCTCTGCTCAGTTTTCTTCTTCTTCCTCATCCTTCCCCTCTGCCTTTTTTTTTGTAAAAAGTTCTTTATATTTTTTAAACACAAACAAACAATGCATCATTAATCATTCAATGTGTCATCTGAATACATATTTTGTGTCCTCTACTTCCTCCTCCATCGTCTTGCTATATTTCTATCACATCTTTATATTTTCATTTAATTTGTTACAACATTCTTTCCAAATTTATATTAATTCATTTTATGCCTCCTTCCTCCCCATTTTTCTCACTACAATCCTTCCCCTCTGCCTTTGAGAGCCGTTCTTAGGTGTCTCGACTGCTTTTCTGTGTTACATGACATTGCTGCCGCCAGGAACATATAGAGGAATTTCCTAGTTCATTTAGTGACCGTTCAAAGTTACGACGGCACTGAAAAATATGACTGGTGACCGTTTTTTCATAGTTACAACCTTTGCAGTAGCCCCATGACCATGTAATTAAAATTCAGGTGCTTGGCAACTGATTCATATTTATGACCTTTGCTGTGTCCCAAGGTCATGTAATCCTGTTTTGCGACCTTCTGTCAATGAGGGAAGCCAGATTCACTTAACAACCATTGTTACTAACTTGACAATTGGGATTCGCTTAAGAAATGTGGCGAGAAAAGTCATAAAATGGGGCAACGCACACTTAATTAACAGAAATTTTGGGCTCAGTTATGGTCATAAATAGAGGACTACCTATACAGATAGTCCTCAATTTACAACCACAAGTGAGCCCCAAATTTATGTTGCTAACTGAGAAATTTGTTAACTGGGTTTTGCCCCATTTTACGACTTCTCACCATAGTTGTTAAGTGAATCACTGCACTTGTTAACCTAGTAACACGCTTGTTAAGTGAATCTGGCTTCCCCATTGACTTTGCTCGTCTGAAGGTCGCAAAAGGGGGTCACGTGATCCTGGGAACACTGCGATCGTCATAAATGTGAGTCAGTCATCAAGCAACCGAATGCAAATCAACGTGATCTTGGGGGTTGCTGCAACGGTTGTGTGAAAAATGGTCATGTCACTTTTTTCAGGGCCATTGTAACTTTGAACGGTCACTAAACGAACTGTTGTAAATCGAGGACTACCTGTATTGCGTTTAACTCTAGCTGCTGCTGGAGTTTACAGCAGCCTGAGCTTTTATCATCAGAGATTCTACTTTTTTTTTTTTGGTCATTTTAAAAGGAGCTCCTTACAATTGATTAGAAGAGGTCCAGATTTGGGGAGGGGGGTGTTTTGTCCCCCCACTCCCAAGGGGGCAAAGATCTGGGTTAAAGCCGCATTAGGACGATGACCGCAGAGCCGTTCTCTTAAAATAGCTCCTGCATTCCTCCTGCCTCTGAATCACTTAACGGTTCCCTTGATGGTCGGGGCAGGGGCAGCTGTGCAAAGGCCCTTAATGTGTGTTCAGCAGTTCCTTCGTCCGCTTGGCAGAGATGCAAGATAAATTGAACACAATCAAAAACACAGTCCTCGGAGGACGCCGGATTGGAAGCGTGCAGGCAGATTTTTAAAAAATAATAATAATACCTTGCTTTCAAACGCTGACCTATTGTCTCCTGCCCTGCCTTCCCCTGCAGTCTACATGGTTTTTTTTTATTTTTTGGCAGACAGTCAGACTAACAAAGCAAATTAAAGCTAATCGATTTAAGGGTCGGCAACTGGCGATCCGTGGGATGGGTCCAGCTCCCCGAGGGTTGCCATCTGCTCCCTCCGCTGCCAGTCAGTATTTTCCTCTTTGTTCTTGGAACAGTTCAGGGAAAGACAATAATCTCCAGCAAGCAACAGAGAATTCCTCTAGGTTGGAGTCTCTCTCCCCCCCCCACTCTTCCTCTCTCTGTCTCTTCCTCTCTCCCTCTCTCTTTCCCTCCCTCTCTTCCTCTTTATCTCTCCCCCTCTCCCTTTCTGTCTCTCCTTCTCCCTCTCTTTCCCTTCCTCTATCTTTCTCTTTCCTTCTCTCTCCCCCTCTCCTAATCTAACCCTCTGTCCCCCCTCCTTCTCTTTCTCGCCCCCTCTCTTTCCCTCTCTCCCTCCCCTCTTTCTCCATCTCTTCCTCTCCCTCTCTGCCCCTTCTCTCTCTCCCTCTCCCCACCCCCCACTTTCTCTTATTTTCCTGGATTGGACCTGGATTCCAACTTTTATCCAACTGTCACTGTCTCCTTTCCCAAAGCTCAGAGCAGGAGACTACAGGTAGTCCTTGATTTACGATCACAATGGAGGCCAAAATTTCTGTTGGTAGGTGAAATATTTGTTAAGTGAGTTTTGCCCCAATTCTACGACCTTTCTTCCCATGGCGGATAAGCGATTCACTGCAGTTGTTAAGTTAGTAATACTTTAATTGAATCAGGCTTCCCCATTGAGTTTGCAAATCCTGGTTCCTTAAAATCTCATTGAAGTTGAGGCCAGTCAGTTTCAGCCACTCAAGACTGAAAGGGATTATTGGAAATATGGGCCTAATTGGGTGTTAAGCACCCAAAAAAAAAAAAAAAGACTTGTAAGATGTATTTTGTCATTTTCTAACCTTGGATTGCTTTAAAGCCTGTAAAATGCTTTGCAAACATGGTGCACCGTGCACAAATAGGGAATAAAGGTTGTTCGACCAATTCTGTAACTTGCTTGCTTTATTCATTAGATTTTTATCCCACCTTGATTACTTTATAAGTAACTCAAAGTAGTGAACATACCTAAGACTTATTTCTCCTCCTGTTTTCCCTACCACAACAACCCTATGAGGTGGGGAGGGCTGAAAGAGAATGACTGGCTCAAAGTCCCTGGGTTGGCTTTCATGCCTAAGGCAGGACTAGAACTCTCAGTCTCCTGGTGATTGGTCCAGTCGCCCAGCCAGCTTTCATGCCTAAGGCGGGACTAGAACTCTCAGTCTCCTGGTGATTGGTCCAGTCGCCCAGCCAGCTTTCATGCCTAAGGCGGGACTAGAACTCTCAGTCTCCTGGTGATTGGTCCAGTCGCCCAGCCAGCTTTCATGCCTAAGGCGGGACTAGAACTCTCAGTCTCCTGGTGATTGGTCCAGTCGCCCAGCCAGCTTTCATGGCTAAGGCGGGACTAGAACTCTCAGTCTCCTGGTGATTGGCCCAATCAGCCAGCCAGCTTTCATGGCTAAGGTGGGGCTAGAATTCACCATCGCCTGATTTCTAAGCCAGCACCTTAACCAAAACACCAAACAGGCTCTCAACTCCTACAGCATGTTATTAATAAATATTTCGGATATTTTTAGGCACAAGGCTTTTAAGATGTGTCAAAAAGAGTCTGTACATTAAAAGGAACCTTGTTTTGCTTTCTCTCACATCTTCTCTTTTTCAAACTGCTTCCAAGTAGGGCAAATTTTGTTGATCAGTAGCAGCATAAACAAATCCATTAGCGAGCACTGCTGTTCCTTCTTTTTCCCTCCATTTTATTTTATTCATGAAAAGATCTTTAGAAATTATTTATTCCATAAAAGTGACTATAAAGACCAGAATGGTTACATTAGTTTGGATTTTTTTGTGTAATTTTGTTTTAGATGTTTCCTTAGAAAGCCCTATAGATAAAAGCAGAGGGAATCTACCAAGCATTATAAGAATTAGGTTAAGGGCTTTGTTAACAAATCTGTCTTTAACCAAGCTGAATTTCCAAGTTGGCTTATCCTAGAGATGGCTTTTACTTGATATTTCTTAGCAATGAGATCAGATATTAATCTCCCATCAGTATCGTTTAGAAGCAGTGCATTTTGCCACGGAGTATAAAACAGTTTCCCCCTCCATGGGCTGGTTTGAAATGGAAACGGTATTCATCTGTATAATTCGCACGCTAATCTCCACTTGCAAATGTTAAATCTCATGCTAGCATGGTGACGAGAGCTGGCGACGTGCCGCCGGAGTCTAGACATTTAATTTTGAGAATTCCTCTATTAGAATGATAGCGCTTCTCCCTCTGGGTGTGATAATGAAGGAGTGGGTAGAGTTTGCGGTGTACTTGCTAGAGGCCAGCAGATGCCCCATTTTGTGCTTCTGGAGCCGCTTCGAGACAAATTGGGGTGGGCTCTCGGCATTTCCCTTAAATTGTTGCTTTAAAATCCAATCCATCTTCTGCCTACACAGCAGCCGTGTCTAGAATGGTTGAGAGACAGGCTCGATAAATCTGTCTGGAAATCAAACGACATGGTCCAACCTCGGCAAGAATAATTAAGTTTCTTTCCTTCCGAAGCCACCCCAATTTCTCATGAGTGGAGCGGAGTTCCATTTTGTTTGTACCTTTATTGTTTTTTTGGCACCCCGGCTCTGGCCTTGGCTTTGAAATGATTGCATTCAAATCCTTTCACAGGAAAGTACTGTTACAGAGAGAGAGAGAGAGAGAGAGAGAGAGAGAGAGAAACCAGGAAGAAGCTGGAGGAAATTGCTACGGTCTGTTCCACTTTCTTAAGCAATTAAATATTTCGGAGGCAAAGCACATAACAAGGATTTAGTCCCCTTTGGAGAGAGGAATCAGTGGAGAAATTGGTTAGGTTGGGATTTCTCTGTCGTGCTTTTATAGAGGCCCAATTTAACCCTAAAACAGAACAAGCCCTTACTCCAGTGGTGAAATTCAGCCGGTTCTATCCGGATCGCGCGATCCGGTAGCACCAGCAGCGGGAGGCTCCACCCAGACGTCATCACGTCCTGTTTTTGACCCTCTGCACGTGCGCAGAAGGCTCTGTGCATGCATGGAGGAGGCGAGAGCGCACACGCGCTCACATTTGCGAACCAGTAGTGAAGGTAAATAAATACCACCCCTGCCTTACTCCCATATATGGTCTTCTAAAGGAAGAGCCCGCCTCCCCATATTAACTTAGAAGTAGGTATGTTCATGATCACGTGAAGTGTTTAATACCACTTTATAATGCTTTGGTAAGACAGGATTTGGAATCCTGCATCCAGTTTGGGTTGCCACAATATAAAGATGTTGAGACTCCAGAAATTTCTAGAGTGCAGAGAAGAGCAACAGAGATGATTAAGGGACTGGAGGCTAAAACCTATGAAGAACGTTTTCAGGAATTGGGTTTGTCTAGTCTAGTGAAAAGAAGGACCAAAGGTAACATTGATAGCAGTCTTTCAATATTTGAGGGGCTGCCACAAGAAGAGGGGGTGTCAACCTATTCTCTCTAAAGCACCTGAGGGCAAGACAAGAAACAATGAATGGAAACTAAGCAAGGAGAGAAGCAATCTAGAACTAAGGAAAAAATTACTGACAGAACAATTAATGGCTTTGGGCCAATCACCAGGAGCGTCTGAGTTCTTGATCCACCTTTACATGAAAGCTGGCTCAGTGATCTAAGACCAGTCCCTCTCTCTCTCAGCCCAATTCACCTCACAGGGTTGTTTTGGAGAAAAGAGGAGGAGGAGGAGGAAATATTAGGTATGTTCACCACCTTGACTTATTGATAAAAATAATAAAAGTGGGATATAAATCAATGACTAAGTAAAAAATAAAAAGCAAATTACAGTGTAGAATTGCCGTTTGAGTATGGATCATCAAAAGTAACAAAGAAACCACCTGCCCCTTAAGCTGAAACCTGCAGTAGAAGAGAACCATTCCAGGAATGGCTGCATTATATTTCCAGATGCAAAGTCTGGAGAGTTGGAAAGATAAGCGAAAAGTGAAGACTAGTGAATAAAGGGAGGATTGTACTGCATAAAGGAGAAAAAGGCTATCAGTAGCCTTGGCTGTCAGCGGTGTCGAATATAAATCACAGACACCCCAGCCTCACCAGTACTTTGGCAGCATTTCTTCTTTTAGACAAGACTGGGGGTCTGCAGGAAAGCAACCTAGCTCAGAGAACGCCAAGGACTCCACACTTCAACCCCAAGCTTACATATATTTTCTTCTATATTTGTGAGGATTTTTTTTTTAAAAAAACCCTGTTTTATCTATTCCCAAATATTTCTAACTCAGTTTTCTGAAAGCCTCCAAGACTCCTGCAAATCATTAAACTGCAAGGCAGAAAGGGAGCAGGGACGACTTAATGAATTGTTCTAGCACAATTAATAGGCATTTTGTCATGCAGGTATTTAGTATCTCAGTGCTCCCTTTTGCATAGGAAACCTGCTTACCTTCTCAAAGCTTAAGAGGGTTTATTTTAGCTTATAATTGCTAATTTTCCGATCATGAGTTCTTTCATTATTTCTTTGCAGCTGGTGCTTCCTAGCTGCGGTATGTACCAGCTGTATACCTTTAAAACATGCTTGAAGAATAATTAGTAACATTCTTTTTTCTTTCTCTGTCTCCCCCCTCCCTCCCTCCCCCCCTCCCAGGGGAAAGCTGGGGTCATGCAGCTACCATACGTTTAATTTTGCACTGGAATAAAAAGCAGAGGTGAGTTAAAAAATGGACACCAATCAATGAAATTAGCCATTGAGTTTGTAACTAAACCTAAGGATACACTCAGTTATCTTTTCTACTTCCCTTCTCATCTTCCCTTTCACATGTACCAGCTGTGGAATGAACATTCCGCCTTTAATTTAAATGCTTACCTAAAAACATGCTACGACAAAGTTCTCAAAATTATTTCAAACCCCAGGTGGTATTCAGCAGGTTCTGACCAGTTCTGGAGAACCGGTAGCGGAAATTTTGAGTAGTTCGGAGAACCGGTAAATGCCACCTCTGACTGGCCCCGCCCCCATCTATTCTCTGCCTCCCGAGTCCCAGCTGATTGGGAGGAAATGGGGATTTTGCAGTAACCTTCCGCTGGAGTGGGGAGAGAATGGAGATTTTACAGTATCCTTCCCCTGCCACGCCCACCAAGACACGCCCACAGAACCGGTAGTAAAATTTTTTGAATCCCACCACTCCCCCCCCCCCCAAAAAAAAATAACCAAACAGCCTGTAAGCAGCTAGACAGGAAAAAGTTGTACAAGTAGTCCTCGACTTGCAACGGTTTGTTTAATGACCGTTCAATGTTACAACGGCACTGAAAGTTTTTCACACTTACGACCGTTGCAGCATCCTCCTTGGCCACATGTTCAAAATTCAAATGCTTGGGCAATCGATTCATATTTATGAGAGTTGCAGTGCACCATCGTCACGTGATCACCTTTTGCGGCCTTAACAACCGTGAGACTAACTTAACAACTGCAATGATGATTCACTTAACAATTGTGGCAAGGAAGGTTGTAAAACGGGGCAAATCTCACTTAACAAATGTCTCATTTAGCAACATAAATTTTAGGCTCATTTGTGATCATAACTCGAGGACTACCTGTAGTAACTACATAAACCACGAACTAGCCAACCGTGGTATACACTAGCCTAGCCCAGAATAGTTCGTATGTTTTGCTAATAATTAAGTGTCTTGAAAGCCTGAAAACTGAGTCAGGTGTATCAAGTTTGAAATTTTCCAACCGACAAGAAAAGAAGTCCAATTGGCATGATTCAACTTCCAGACTTCTTCAGATATTCTAAAAATAAAACAAAAAAGGCACTTTAAGAAACAAGTAGCAGAATCAGCCTACCTCTGCCAGTTCCTTTTAGTAACATTGAAATTGAGGTGTACAGATTTTTGTGGACAAAATACATGAAAACCAGATTTAGAGGCAGGGGGGGAATGAATAGCATAATGGAAATACGAATGACAACTTATCTCAACCTGAAGGGTAAATAAATACTTGAGAGAGACCGTTTCAGGGCCTGTTCTGTCCCTTTAATGTAGCTTGCAATTCTGGGCAGCAACCTGATCTAAAGCACGTAGCTACAAAACCTATCCAAACATTCACATTTTAAAGACAGAGTGTGAGACTGCAAGACAGCAACGTGTTAGCAGAGACAGCCTTTCCTTTTATACCATAGGGGGAAACCTGTAGAAAATGAGAGCTTTGTATTTAAAGACAATAAACCGAGTTAAGCTGTTCCTTTGTAACCTTGTTTTGCCCAGGATCCTGGGTGGATTCTTGCAGTCCCTCTTTGTTTTAGAACTGGAACACAGTGTAGCCTTAGCCGTTATGCAATTACTGTGTTTAAACCTAATATCCCTGTTCTCCTCCCTGCGCTTTTAAGTGTGTCACTTAATTTAGATGGTGGGGTGTCCCTTATTTCAAACACACATATCCATGGCATCTGAGGGGCACCTGGTGGAATTCTATTTGAGAGCCTCTTAAAAACATGACAGGGTATCTCACGATTAAGGCTATTTCTATCAAGTACACCCACCAATTTAAATGTTCTAAGGAATTCCCTATGCAACGAAATGTGATGTGATAATCTTCCTTGGGCAGTAATTACTTGCTTTCTAATAGAACAGCACCGAGAGAGAAGAAAAGAAACCCAGAGCCCTAAAAATAATTAACAGGAATCTTGGCAGGTTATCTCAGAGGAAGGCTGAGTATTTTCCTGGGGTATAGCAAGTTCAGAAGTCCTCCCTCCCTCTGGGTTTTAGCAAGAGGTTCTCGAATTAGTTTTTAGATTGAACCAAGAAAAAAAAAATTTCAGTGCAGTTGCAATTACTTCAAAAGATTTACTCCATCCCTTCGTTTTTCAAAAAATGTCAAGTGCAGTTAAGAAAGTAAAAATTGTGAATCTGAAATAAGTTAAAGAATGCCGAATTGCAAAGCAGGCCAGGTTTCTATAATCACTTCTCTTTTTCAAACCCAGCCGCTATTTTCTGTTCTTTACTGTTCATGTCGGACCATCTGTCAGAAGTTGTAAAATACCATTGACCGTATCTATACTCTTTTAAATTAAGACAGGAGGGCACTGTTTTTCAGCCTCAGCAACTTGAAAATTTATGGATTTCAAATCCCAGAATTCCCCAGCATGAAGTGCATACATCTTAAAGTTGCTGAGGTTGAGAAACAATACTGCAATACAGCAATGATAATACCACGAAATAAAAAAAGATGTTGAGACTCTAGAAAGAGTGCAGAGAAGGACAACAAAGTTGATTAGGACTGGAGGCTAAAACATGTAAAGAACAATTGCAGGAACTGGATATGTCTAGTTTCATGAAAAGAAGGACTGGGAGTGACATAGCTGTGTTCCAATATCTTAGGGCCTGCCACAAAGAAGTTTTGGGGGTCAAGCTATTCTCCAAAGCACCTGAGGGTGGGACAAGAAGTAATGGATGGAATCAAAGAGAGAAGCAACCTCGAACTAAGGAGAAATTTCCTGAACAATTAATCAGTGGAATGACTTGCGTCCAGAAGTTGTGAATGCTTCAACACTGGAGATGGTCAAGAAGTGACTGGATAAGCATTTGCCCAGAATGGTATAAGGTTACCTGCTTAAGTAGGGTTGAACTAGAAGACCTCTAAGGTCCTTTCCAACTCCGTTATTCTGTTAACTTCTGGAAACATCCTCTGTGCAAGCCTGTTAAAAAGGAATAGGAACCATTCCAGCTGTCTAGATCCTTGTTTACTGACCACTAGTTCGGTGACCATTCAAACTTAAAATAATGATGAACGAAGGGTACTTATGATTGGACCCATACCTGCCGTTGCACCGTCCCGTGGTCAGACTTTGTGATCTTCCTGCAAGCAAAGTCAGTGGGGAAGCTAGCAGGAAGTCAGAAATTGTGTCCAGATGAGATCCTTACTTAAACGATAGTAACCAGGATAGCAGAACCGATTTTTCTCCTTAAAAGTGCTTCGCTTAACAGTGGAGTTTTCTGTCTCAATTACCATCTTTAAACAAGGACTACCTACAATTGAGGCCTTTGAACTCTGGTGCTGGAGAAGACTCCTGCGAGTCCCTTGGACTGCAAGGCAATCCAACCGCTCAGTCCTAGAGGAGATCAACCCTGACTGCTCTTTAGAAGGCCAGATCCTGAAGAGGGAACTCAAATACTTTGGCCACCTAATGAGAAGGAAGGACTCACTGGAGAAGAGCCTCATGCTGGGAACGATGGAGGGCAAAAGGAGAAGAAGGGGACGGCAGAGAATGAGGTGGCTGGATGGAGTCACTGAAGCAGTCGGCGTGAGTTTAAATGGACTCCAGAGGATGGTAGAGGACAGGAAGGCCTGGAGGGACATTGTCCATGGGGTCACAATGGGTCGGACACAACTTCGCAACTAACAGCAACAACAAATAACAACAACCTACACTGATAAAAAGGCAAGATATAAAGCTAAAATTAACATGCAGTATTTTTGATCCTACAATATTTTCCTCATTCATTGAATTGACTATGTCCTTTCACTGACTAATAGCAATGATGTAATACTCTGAATTCTCTGACTGTAATAATGAAATAAGGTAACCTAAACACAAATAATTGCCAGTGAAATGCAGTGAGCTGAATGTTGTTTGATTTTTTTCCCACCTCCACACTACTTCCATGTCATTGAAGTAATCATGATTGTTTGTTTATTATTTATTTTCAGGTTGGCAATGTTGTACAAGTCTCCGAGTCAGAAGGAGTCAACCGTACCCTTTTGCATTACGGTAAGTACAATTGTGGAAGAGGCCAAAACTGGGAACAACAAGGTGAAAATGAAATGCTAACAATGAAGGGAATGTAAAACGCTAACATCAGAATAACTCTAGCCAAGCATCTTCCTGATGAACCTGTGATAGTTTACTTATTTGTGTCAGAAGCATCACAATTAAAATAAGGCATACTACCAGTAGTCCTTGACTTACGACCACGATTGAGTCCAAAATTTTTGTTGCGAAGTGAAATATTAAGTGAACTGACCCCATTTTACGACCTTTTGTGCCAGAGTTGTTAAGAGAATCTCTGCAATTGTTAAGTTAGGAGCACGGTTGTTAAGGGAATCTGGTTTCCCTATCGATTTTGTTTGTAAGAAGATCACAAAAAGTAGTCACATGACCCTGGGACACTGCAACAGTCATAAATATGAGTCAGTTTGCTAAGTATCCTAGTTTTGATCACGTGACGGGGGTACTGCAACGTTCATCAGGATGAACACTTTTTTCAGTGCTGTTGTAACTTTGGTCACTAAATGAACTGTTGTAAGTTGAGGACTACCTGTATATAATATAAAATACAAGATTAAAATATGTACAAAGTAAACAGATTTTGCCCAGAAATCAGCAACATTAATTACGTTCTATTACGCTGCCATGAGATCCTCAAGTGTACAAAGATTGGGACACGAAGGGCAGGTGTACATATGTGTTGTCTTGTGTATCACCACAATCGGCAAAGAGCAGAAGCCACCAGATAGCCCCATTTGTTCAGAGTGTCTCTGGATTTTGTTGCACTCGCATGCAGTCTATTCAACATTCTCCCACTGGGATGCGGAGTGGGTCAGAAGTGGGATGATCCAGCTCGTCTGGCCAATCACTGAGTCGGATAAACTTGGCCACGCCTACTCAGGCCTCCCTTCCTTCCAGTTTATTCGACTCAGTGGTTCTGACCAGTCGCATTCGCTGAGTCTCTCACTTCTGCAGATTTTGGAGATCGTGTGTGTGTTGGGGGCTTCTGCTGATCGCAAACGACTACCTCCGTTGCCTCTCGATCATCAGAGGGACGTGAGTGTGAAAGTTCCCTTCCGCCCCCATTCTTCTTCTTAGCGCTGTGTGTGCGGGCCATTTCAGTCCTCCTGGGCTGGAAACGCCGCCGCCGCGCTCCTCTGACAGCCGCCGACTTCAGCGCCCATCAGCTGAGGGGCGCGAAGATCGCGACGCTTCGGGAACCAACGCCGGGGGTTCCTCTTCGCCGCCCCGTTCCGCTGTCAGTCTCCGCCTCAGCGTCGATCAGCTGGAGGTCGGAGAAGCCGCAGAAGCCGCTGCCTGCCCAAAGGCTTCGTTCCGGCTTGTGGCTGCCGCCGCTCTTCCCAGCGATCGGGGAAGACGGCGTTTTGAACTGCGCTGCTCCTGCCTTGGCGTGGGGGGTGTCTGACACTTCCCCGCCAATTTTCCGTGCCGCCATCTTTGCAGCCGTTAATTAGCCGCCATTTCCGCGCGCTTCTTTCATCGGCTGCTGGGACCTACCTGATCTCCTTCCTTGGTGAGCTCTGCACTTGCCCTATATATAAAAAAAAAAAAAAAAAAAAAAAAAGGAGAAGACGATTGGAATAGGTCTGGGGTCCCTTTGTGGATTTTCGGTTATTTTAAAGAATATTTCAACTATTGGCGGCCATTTTGTCTGACCCTGGAGACTTGTTCCCGGGCAGCCATTTTATCTCTCAGCATAACAGTAATACAAAAAAAAAAAAAAAAAAAAATTTCCTTGGTGGTTGGATTGCAGCGAACTTCCTAATTTATCCTTGGTTTAGGATATCTGGGAAATTACAATGGATTATACTGCCTCTTTTCAAAATAATAATAATGATGATACTTACTGTTGTTCCTTTGTGTGCAGATTCCTGCTGTGACATATATTATCCATCGCTATGGCGGACCAGTCATCTTGCAAGATTGATTCTGGCCGTAAGGCCTCCTCTAAATCAAAACATACAAAAACGTCTCATCAGCATGATTCTGATCTGACTTCGCATACCCATGGAGATAAGCCAAACCCGGATACCGGTCTTGATTCAGGGGTTGCAGAGGAGGCTGACTTGACCAGAGCCTTCTCTCCAGAACGCCAGGACAGCCTTCATGGCTCTCCAATTAGACAGGAGGGGGACCCCTTTGATTGCTCTATCCCTGTTCAGGATCCTCCACCAAGTAATCAACCTAAGTCAGATCTGGAGAACCTTCCACAATCAGTTCAGATATTAATTGCCAGGGCCATTTCTCATGGCATCCAAGCGGGCATCAGAGAGCATCGCTCTGTCTCTCTTGTCTCTGAGAGCCTTCATTCCAGAAGATCAAGGGTGTCTCCTGATGCCAGTCTTACAGGGTCCCCTGATCACTCCCCTGTTAGATCTAGAGGCAGTGCTGATATAGAACTAGAGGATGAACCTCAAAGGGAAGTGGATTTATCGGATGACGAATCCACTGCTCCTGATGTGCCAGCCTTTACCGGCCTTTTCCCCCAGGGACTTTTTAAATCACTGCTTCACAAGGCCAAAGTCACCTCGGGCCTAGTTGACACTGATTCTGTCCCATCAACTTCTGCCGCTTCCTCCAGTCAAGGCATATTTTCTGAACCAGTAACTGAACAACTGTTTGTCCCAGCGCCAAAACTTTTCACTGATGTGGTTCGTAAACAATGGACTAATCCAACTTCTTTTCCTACTCCTAGTGGCTACGATCGTAGAAATTACAACATGGATCCTGTCCTGACTAGTCTTTTGCAGGTTCCCGAAGTCGATGGCCCTGTGGCAGCGCTTTCATCTTCGTCTCCTTTCATCTCAGGGGACACTTCTGAGGGTCTTAAGCCGGAAGACCGTAAGTTTGATTCTTCTTTCAAGAAGGCTCACCAGGCCTCAGCTTGGGCAATTCAGGCCGCTACTGCGGCCTCATTCTTTTCACGGTCATCTCTATTATGGCTCCAGCAGCTTCAGTCCCGCTTACCAGCCCAGGAGGCCAGAGTCCATCAGGACCTAAATAAGATAATAGCTGCCACTCAATTCACCTCGGATGCCACGTTAAATGCTGCCAAATTTGCCTCGCGGGCTATGGCTTCCTCAGTCACTTCCCGTCGCCTTTTGTGGCTTAAGCCTTGGCAAGCTGACCTCAAGGCCAAATGGCGTCTAGCTTCTACACCATACTCTGGGCCTAAATTATTTGGTGCTTCCCTTGAACCATTATTAGTGGAGGACAGGGACAAAAGGAAGGTCCTTCCTTCCATTACTAGACGAGCTGATCGCAGGGCTACCCCCTACTATCGCAGGCCCCCGGCCCGTAATTTTTTCCAGGAGGGCCCCAGTCAGAGACCTTACTCACAGGGTTCCTTTCGTCCCCAAGATAGAGGTTCCTACAGGGATAAATCCAAACCCTTTGCCCCTCAGAAACGGCCCTTTCGTGGAACTGGCGGACGTCAGTTCCGCCGCCAAAAGTGACTCCCGCTTGATAGCTCCCATTGGGGGGAGGTTGAGCCTGTTTCTCCCCGAATGGGCTCGCAGTACGACAGACCAATGGGTTCTTCATATCATCGAATTCGGCCTCCCATTGGAGTTCCTCTCCCGCCCTCCGAGCCGCTTCGTGCCTTGCCCTGTCTCCAGCTCCCTCAGCAAGCGGAATTTGATGGAGATCGCCATTCAGCATCTTCTGGAGATCAATGCTGTGGAGGACGTCCCTCGGGAGCAATGGAGGCAGGGATTTTACTCGATTCTTTTCGTGGTTCCGAAGCGCTCGGGGGGATGGAGAGCGATCCTAAATTTAAAATCCCTGAACACCCATTTAGTATACCGCAAGTTCAGGATGAGTACGCTCAAATCTATCCTGGAGGGAATAAGACCCGGAGACTTCCTAGCCTCAATCGATCTCTCCGAGGCGTACCTTCATATACCTATAGAGCCAGCTCACCGGCGGTACCTCAGGTTCAGCTACGCGGGGCGTCACCTACAATACCGGGCCCTTCCATTTGGCCTGGCATCGGCCCCGCGCAGTTTCACCAAGATTCTGGCAGCCTTGATAGCTCACCTGAGGTCCGTACCAATTCGAATTCAGGCTTATCTGGACGATATTTTAATACAAGCCTCGTCCTACGACAGAGCCAGAACCAATGTATTTCTGACATTGCAAATATTACAGAATCATGGGTTTCTAGTCAACGAGCCCAAGAGTCAGTTGGTCCCTCAACAGCGCATAAATCATCTAGGCGCAGTCATAGACACGCAGGTGGGACAGGTGTTCCTCTCCCAGGAGAGGAAGGACAGCCTCAGATCTCTGATTCGGCATCTGTTACAAGATCCGACAGCTCCCAAGCTAGAATTGTCCCGTCTCCTGGGGAAACTAGCCTCATGCACAGACATAGTTCCCTGGGCTCGGCTTCATGCCCGCAGCCTTCAATGGCTGCTACTCCCCTATCAGCGGGCAAGGACAGCAGCCTCCAAATCCAAGATCAGGGTCCCCCTGTCAGTACGCCGGTCTTTGCACTGGTGGCTATCCCCGGCTCTGGACAACGGATGCGTCTTCTTGGACACACATCCACTGATTATGACTACAGACGCCAGTCTGACGGGCTGGGGTGCGCACCTGGGTTCCCAGGTCGCTCAGGGGCGATGGTCCACGACAGAAGCAAGGTCAAGTATCAATCTTCTGGAACTCAGGGCCATCCGCTTAGCTCTTCTGGCCTTTCTTCAGACGGTGCAGGGACAACACTTACTAGTGCTTACAGACAATGTGTCAGCAAAGGCACATGTCAACCGCCAAGGGGGGACAAGGTCCAGGACCTTGATGCAGGAGGCTCTTCTTCTGGGGAGGTGGGCGGAATCCCACCTTCAATCCCTCAAGGCGGATCACATCGCGGGGAAGGACAACCTTCAGGCGGACTATCTCAGCCGCACCACGATAGACGCATCAGAATGGCGCCTCAGCCCCGCTCTGTTTCGGGACATCTGTCTCCGGTTCGGCCAGCCACAGGT